AGCAAAGAGCGAATTTCGAGTAATCATAAATCAGTACTACAACGCAGCATTTTCTTCAAATAGTACTATTAATCTCAATAAAGCTAGAAGGCTTCATAAACAACTAAAAAGTTAGTATAGTAGGTTACCAGAGCCACTTCAACCTAAAACGATTACACTCCCTAGTCATTTTCAACTACAGTAAGTATATACGTCCCTAACCTACTAAATTCCAAAAAGAATAATACTAATTAATAATTTATATTCGTAGTATATACTACTATCATTTACTACTCATGATATACGAACCTTTACTTACCGTAGATAGGGACCCCGATATCGCCTTACAACACATTATTACCAATAGAAAGAAATATCTTAAAACCCTAATCCGTCTTTATTACCTCCAGCATAATTACGAAGCCATAGACCTGTTCCTGGTCATTCCTCTCATACTCATAAGATACAACTATATCAACGCAATTTTAAAAGAAAAATCTAAATATCAAATTAAAACCCTGCAGTCTACGCTCATCCTAGTTACGAAGGGGTTACATTATCAGCGTCGTAATCATTACTTAGCAGAGGCACTATTTCGAGTCTTAAGGGGACGGATGCGCCCACAAGAGGTAGCCCTTCTAAGAAATTCGATAACTTTTAACAACAACCGAGAGGAAGAAAAGCACGGCATAGTACAAGCCGTGCGCAGTCGATAGCCAGTCGCTATTATTAGCAAACAAGAGGATATAAATAATCACATCTTAACACATCTTATTAAGACCTACGGGTCATACGCAGAGGAGAACGCCCGGTAATAGGTACCGGACGTGGGTTAAGCTACAATTTCATTTCACTAAGCATCCAAGTAAAAGCTCGATTGTACCTTAGTTGGCTGCTGAACCTCCTCACCACAACATATTACCGCCTATATATTCCCATCGCCTTAATCCATACAAGCAAAATACCCTCGCGGCTAAATTTACTTAGTATACGCTATAATCCATACGCAACTATTAATATATAATCCAGTATATATGATCCTAATATTCAAACTATTTACACCTTCAGTAAATAGGACTTTCCCACGGCACCTATTCGGTCGGATCAGGGCTAAAGCATGCATATAGACAAGTCGAGAGGTAAGTAAGCAAGTAGCAGACACAAACAGGGGTAATACAAACAAAGAAAGAGGCAGGGATAGTATAAAAAAGTCTAAGAGGGCACCATATCCAAATCAATTTCTCTTACTCCTAATAATATACCAGGGAGCTTAAAAAAACCGACTAGGTACATAATTTCTTCCATCAGAAAACATAAAAAAGTGCTTTACGCAAGTCTTCCGTTCGCCTTCGTAGGTCCCCTACATTAGAGGCTAGTATAAAACCACTTATCTCTATAATCTGTTTATAGATAATAAAGTCTTTTAGAGCTTTCTTTATTTCCTCCAGTGCCTCCAGACAAGTCAATTACTTCTATTTCTAATTAAAAAACATTCCTCAAAGCTCCAAAATTCCGCACGAATAAAATCGCATATTAATATCGTCGAGCTACGGATAAAAGGGCCCAGCAGAGTTTCTCTACGAAGCTCCAACATCCTTAGCAAAGAAGAGAGTAATATTATACTACATATTAAAACTAGTACGGGGCTTTTCTCCCGTTCGTAAAATCCTTAAATAAGTAAACGACTAAGTATAGTAGCTAAGAATTACCTTATAAGCAAAACCTACCAATAAAATCACAATTAGTTTCGTCCGTTTATAATTAGATAGTCACACTAGCTACTATAAAGAAGTGCGCTAAGTAGCTTATGGGTAGATAAAAATAGGCTTAGAAACTTAAGGCTCAGTTAACGAGCTCTCAATAACCAAAAAAGCGGTTTACTACCCCAACAGATAAAAAGTACGGCCCCAATCTGCATAGCTAGGGACGGTAATAGTTAAGAAAATACTAGCAAATAGATACATTTTGCTAACGCAAATACACAAGTAAGCACTGCACTCTAGAGATACGTCGCATTCACAGCGGTAAGTTCAAACAAAGGGCCTCAGAGATTTCTCTCTGCCCTCTAAAAGACTCCGTTAGCCTAAGGAATAGGAATCCTTATTATCGATAGGGACAATCAGAGAAACAAAAAGGAAAGGGGGAAAAGAGAAAAGGGACCCATAGGTAGAACTTATACATAGTAGTATACAAGCTTTACCAATCACTAATCATTATCTTCTCTCGAACACGGAGGCTACGCCCGTCCCGCTAGGCACTTATCACTAGTTAAGTTTCATTCTCGATATTTCTCAACCTATCAGAACGTTCGAACTAAGACTGCATTTTACCTACCGGCAATCCATTCTATCTCCTTGCGCTGTTTTCCAGCGCATTACCATTAAAACTAAGCCTCATTTACCTCACTCAATAAAGCGAGTACGTACCGGCCTATAACATCCGGCTTAAGTACGGTTAGCCAGTTACGTGCTATTTATCTATCAAATATATAAGGGGGCCTTAGTTACAGCTTTACAATCAAGTCACCTGGGCTCATTCCCATTCCCTCAACAGTTCCTCATAGGTCTCAGTAGCCTATTCCCCTATAAGTTTAGAAGTGCATCCGTCTCTTTCTCAGCCTAGTGTAGTCACTAACTATCTCCAGTTTCATCCATCGTACAGTCATCCAACATTCCCAGTACCGATTTCTATCTCATCAGTTAATCCAGTGTAGTCGTAAGAGCCCCCAGTATTACGTCGCCAAAGCATTAGAAATTTGCGGTCACTTGCGCAAATACCATTACTAAGCAAGCTATTCCTAAAGGGGTCCATTTTTATCCTATAAGCGAATTTCCGTGCGTTTACCCAGAACGGGGTATCAATCCAGCTGGGCAACAGACAATAGCTTCGTCGGACGACCCCTGCCTGCCAGATATAGCTAATATTACCGCTATATGCATATTCGTACCACTATATCCCGCACCTACTGGCCGGATCTGCTTAGTCTCCCCTAGTAGTAACCTCCAATGCCACCAATAGATTGGGCAGAACGACCAAGTAGCCGAAACAACGTATAACGAACAAGAAGCATTCAAATTTAAACATTCTTCGCATTCAGAGTTTAACGCGCAGAGTCTAGAGTCTTCACACATTAGAATGGGCGAAACTCATATAACTACTACGTGGGCTTTCCAAGCGAACAACTAGCCGGCTTTTCAACAGGAAAACCTTCAACAGCCGCTGCCATCCCTTAAAAACAGAGACAGGGCCTCGCTTTATCTCGATGCATAACCACAGCCCAAATCCCATCCTCGAGTCGAGACATAGTCAAAACAGATAGCAAAGACGAGGACGAGGACGAGTACCAACATAAAGGCTCGCACCGCTTCTAAGGTCCGCCAACAAGGCCCCGAGAGTAAAACGATGCGAGTTAGAGGTATCGTCGAGCTCGAATTTAGACGATAAAAAGACGATAGCAATAAATTTCAACAGCAAAGACAAGGATGAGCGCGAGGAGCCGGGCAAGCAGGGCAACAGCTCACGTCTAGGACCCAAAAAAGCTTACGGTGTCAAGAACAGGGCAGCTACAAATCGATCTCGGGGGAAGGCGAAACAGTATGAGCAACACCTTGCAGCGAAAGAGGACGAAGTAATAAAAGAGAGGATATAACTCGGTGCGCGCCTGAAAGCGCTCATGGGCAGAGGCTAGACGACTCCGAAATGGGGTTGTAGAATCGTGGTGTTGAAACAATCAGCGACGTAGCATCAGGATATGTATTGCTTTTGTTTCGCCTACTATCCTATCTTTCCTTTTCCACCTTCCGTGTCAGCCCTATTGCCCGCGACTGAGTGTTGCAGCCAGTCAGCTAACTATGTTTCTTAGATTTCATTTATATCTATTAATATGTTCGTGAAAGACCCCCTATAGAAGATATGTCGCCTTTCTTCACTTCTTTACTGCCATTTCATGACTTCCTGTCCGCCAATGGCAAGCACGTGGTCGTACACCCGCAGGTGGGACATTGGTCAGCTGGTGACGTGGCGGCTATTGGGGGAACCGAAGGGGAAACCGAAGGAGCCATCTAAAATGCTTCCGTATTCAGTACAGCAATATGGTTTACTTCGTCTTTTTCTTATATAACACGCAGTCTACAGGGTGGCTTCATCGGATCGCTCCGTCGAGAGTGCGAAACATTTTATATCAGGAAGCCAAGGCTGGCCCGACCGCCGGTTCCTGATCCTGGTACCCACCAGTCCCCTCACTTCTATTCCGGCAGACAAGCGGCATTAGAGCCGGTGCCAAGCCAGGCCCATCGTATCCACACAGTCTTGTCGACGGGTTCAGGGTTTCTACACCCGGATGTAATCAGTCTCTTGTGATTGGCGGGTTCTGTCAAACAACATCCCTCGAAATTCGTCAGAGAGTACGTACATATGTAAAGGCCGTTGATCATGCAATCTCATTTGCTTGTGCACTTTCCATGCGGATTCAGGCAAGAGTCACCCGCACCGAAGCTATCTAACCTATCTCACGCAGAGATATCGTGTTGGGGTTCGAGTCACCAGGGCTGAGTGGCTCCCGACAGTGACGGCCAAGCTATTCTTGAGACTGCGGAACGGGCTTTATTAAACACGAGTACAGTGGTAAGTGGCTGGGGTCATCGACTATAAGGAAATGGGGTCGTCGAAGATCGAGCCCTTCCGGCCTCTCGCGCCGTGCCAACAAGGCAAATGAACAGACTTTCTAGATGTGGTTGTGACATAGTCATTGTCAGTACCTGCGGAGGCGAAAACTTCCGCAATTGACATTAGAAACCATAATTAGTGGACCGCAAGCACGCCCTTTCAAACACATGTCCTATTACGTTTCGGCAGGAACTAAAGGAAATACACGGAAGCGCCCGGCCCTATAAAGCCGGTAGACCGACATAAACCGCCGTCACTGGATCAACTTCAGCGCCATCAATTTCAACCCATCATTATCAACGAACAACAACGCCATTTAGCCAAATTTCTGTGCCTGTTTCCTTGTCTTCGACACCATGCAACTTCGGAAAGATCACGTGGAGAACAGCATCCGCGTCCTTCGTTAACTCATCAAGGACTATCCCCTCGGCGCACTCACAACAGCCATACCGTCAGCCGATCACCCATTCATCCAGTCTAGCCATATCCCCTGGGTATTGGATGTTGAAGATGACTCTGAAACCGAGCTCGGTGTCCTAAGAGGTCATATGGCGCGCGCAAATCCTCAGTGCAAGGCGATGGTCGAGTCACTAGCAGCAGAAAACCGGACAGGGACCGGAAACGTTCTCGATCAGGAGGTGCTGGTCCTCTTCACCGCGCCCGCCCACTCCTATGTGACGCCGAAATTCTACGTCGAGACGAAGCCAACAACGGCCAAAGTCGTGCCGACCTGGAACTACGCCGCGGTACAGGCGTATGGCCGCGCCAAGATCTTTTACGAGTCCAAGGCCGAGGAGACGTCGAGTTTCCTGAACAAGCAGCTCCACGATCTCTCACAACTGGGAGAGCAGTCAATCATGGGATACACTGGTCAAGACGGCCGTCCTGGGCCGTGGCAAATCTCGGATGCCCCGCAACGGTACATTGATCTGTCTAAAATGGCTATCATTGGCATCGAGATCACCATCGACAGGCTGCAGGGCAAATTCAAGATGAGCCAGGAGTTGGGCGAGGGTGATCGCCAAGGTGTTGTCGAGGGATTCAAGGCGTTGAAATCGGACTTGGGCAACCAGATTTCAGACCTGGTAAAGGAGCGCGGCGAGTTGAAGCAGAAATCTAAATAATAAAACTCACCAAAGATTTTGTCCCTGAAATGTTGTATCTTACCGATAGGTGACTCCAGTCAAGCCATTCCCCCGCGTATATGGCGTAAATCCGGGGTTCAACGTTGATGGGCCGCAAGCGCACGTAGCCGGCCCGGTGCTGAGCTAGGGGCTGGCATGTACTATATGTAGGTACAGCTTCAAGCGACCAATGCAAGGGCCTAAATTACATATCGAACCACGTCAAGACGAACTATTGGCTTTGTAGAAGTACCAACACCGGACCGGCACTCAGCTCTAAGTGGAGTACCCGTCCACTCATCATGATACTCTTTACCAACGAAGTCTAGGAGACATACTAACTGCTCGATGATGTCTCAAAGAGCTAGCCTCGATAACCGGGCTTTTTGGCTGAGAGAGAAAACAATGATGACTCGGTGTTATTAAGAAAATCAGCAACGAGGTAGATTTAACAGGCGCGTCGCAATCATCAACACCCCCTTCCCGCACTTCCATGAATCTCTCGCCACTTGCTACAACCACCCGCGGCATCCACCGCAGCTCCGCCATTTTTAACAATGTCTGTAGTCCATCCAAGCGAGCCCCGAACCACCATCACATCTCCACTATGAGCAAATAATGACTTCTCGTCGGGCTCAATGACCTGTTTGTAGTAAGGGTCCGCGTAAGCGGACAAGAACTGCTCGATGCTCGATATGGTGAAGTCGGCTGCTCCGTCGTATTGTAAGATGTACTCGTCCGGCAGCCTCAGAGCTTTTTGAAGGGTCGTGCGGTTTGCCTCGGTGGTGTGGTACTGTGGAATTCATCTCTGTGAGTTCCAAAGGCTCTACGTCTGAGGATTGGGTAATGATATCACGTCACTTACCTGAGTGTACCGATTGACGCCGTACTGGAGAGCCCATGGCACGACGAGGGGGCCATGAGTGTTCGTCCAGTGATCGTGGAACTCTTGCTCCGTCATCCCGGCCTTTCGGGTGAAGAAAGTGATGATGCGCGCAGATTCTTCCGCTAGAGCTGGAACGAGAAGAGTGAGAAGGGCACCAAGGCCGCACGTCGTTGACGTGAACTTCATCGTGTACGCTGGCTGGAAAAATATGTGTAAAGATAGGACCTGGGGTCTCGAATTGAAGCTGCAACCATCGTAATGTAACGACTTTCCTTTTCTTTTATACTCTTCGAGAACCTAGAGTTCAAGAGAAGACCCAAACTTCATTTTCAATGGGTCTTGGCCTTCCGCTGAGGATCGGGGGTTACAATTACCGTCAAAGTGGTCTGGCATCGCCGACTCCGTCTCGTTCCTCGGGCAAGCCGGAGCACATATCTCGACAAAGAGAAATAGCTGCGATACTTTGAAGGTGATCCGTGATGCTCGATAACTTCGGCATGAACGAGCGGATCTTGAAAACCACCGACTACGATATCGAACCGTTGATTTGTTGGGTTTGAGGCCCTGGTCATTTGCGGCAGGGCGCGTACGATGAACCCTGTCCGTTGGCACACGAGTTTGAAGCAGGCTACAGCATTTTGCCATTCCACTAAATCAATTGTACTTTGCGTTTGGCTTGCTCTTTATTTCTTAAGGTTTGAATTACTGCTTCGTGCTGCCTTCTGGCGAAAAAGAATTTCATGGAAGACTGAAGTTGATATCGTCCGACTTCGGTGCGGATTTTTACTGGCAATCGGCAAAGATACAAACGTCAAACCTCGTAGCCGAGATCGTAGAGCCTGTAAGTCGTGCAAATTGCTCCGAGGCCGCTAGTTCTCTTCTGTGTCGCTCGACGGGCTATTTTTTCCTGTAAATGCTCAACATGGCGGCCCAATTGGAAGGATCCCCTGAAGTCCGACCAGTCCCGTTCTCCTCATGCTCTTTGCGCGGGGAGGTGATACCGAGAAGGGATCGGCACCGTAGCCAACCGATACTCGTGGAACAACTCACTCACATGCGTTATCGGTGCGAATCAAGCTTCACCTCATGCAACTGGCCGTCTTTGGTATGCCGCTTCTCGGTCTCGCATGCGGGGGAACGGTTGGGGGGAACTCGGGTGTTTATACGCGCGGGATAGGCCGAGGAGGGGTCGAGAAAACGCAACATGCGGCTCGACGGAAAAAGGTTGACGACATGGACTTTATTTGGGATGAAACTAAAGCTTGTAATTGCCAACACCTACAACATTCTCACATACCGTCAATGAAGACATACAAGTACGAGATTCTCGAGATTCTATATGTGCGTTTATGACTTGAACCGCCTGCAGCTACTTCAATCTAGTAAGAGGCTTTCAGATTGCCTCACAAGAATTGTACTCAAGACTTCAACGCTCGCCTCGTAACATGATGGCAGAAGTGACGAAATCGAGCGACGTCAAAGGTCTGAATAAAAATGGCTCACTCAACGACGAGGAAACTGGCGGATCGCACTCAGAGGCACCCCTCGAGGTCCACGCAGACGAAGACATCGTAGCGCGGATGAACAACCTTGATCCACCCGTGACGCCAGAGGAGGAGAGACGCGTACGGAGAAAAATTGATATGCGACTGCCTCCCTTCCTGCTCATTCTTTACATGTTCACCTGGCTGGACCGTGGGGCACTGGGGAACGCGGCGCTAATGGGCATCAAGGAAGATCTTGGGTTCACGAGCAGAGACTTCTCTCTCGCAGTGAGCATGTTCTTTGTCGGGACGGCGATTTCTGACCTGTTCACGAATATTGGGATGAGGTATGTCCGGCCTTCGGTGTACCTTGCTACGGCTATGGTAAGTCTAGTTCTCAAGATGATAATCAATACAAGGAAGAAAGCTCACTGATTTCATAGATCATCTGGGGTATCTTTGCGACGCTGCAAGCTGTTGCCGGCGGTCCTAGCGGGATGTTCGCCATCCGGTTCTTCCTCGGCATCTTTGAGGCGGCCTTCATCTCCGGAGCGCCATACCTGACGACAGTCCTCTATCCCAGAGCCGTAAGTCTCTCCTCCATATGCTCTTCGTCCTCTCAACGTCTGACGTAACATCACCAAAGGAATGGGGCCGCCGCATAAGCGTCTACCTCTCAGCAACCCCCCTCGCAGGCGCCTTCGGCGGCTGGGTAGCCTACGGCGTCTCCAACATCTCCAACCCGCTCATAAAGCATTGGCAAGCCCTCTTCGTTATTGAGGGGCTCGTAACCATCCTCTTCGGCGTGGCCTGCATCTGGGTTCTGCCCGACCGCCCGCACAACACGCGCTGGCTCACCCCGCGCGAGCGCGACGTCGCCACCTGGCGGATGATGCGCGATGGCAACCGCACGCACGGCAAAGTCCACTGGCGCACGACGGCGGCGCAGCTGACGGGAGATTGGCGGCTGTGGTTGAATATCGCGATTTACATGGGCCAGGTGCTGCAGACGTACACGATTGCGACTTTTACGCCGATTATTGTGGCAACTTTTGGGTATGATAACGTCAAGGCGCAGTTGATGACGGCGCCGCCTTATTGTGTTGCGTTTGTCATGGTATTCGTGGTCGGGTGGGCGAGTGATCGGGTGAAGTCATGTTCGGGGTTGTTGGTAGGGTGTTCTGTTGTTGCTGCTGTTGGGGATTTGTTGCTTGCTGTGTTGCCGCATACGGCTGCGAGCGCGAGGTATGGCGCGACGTTTTTGATCTTGTCTGGGATTTTGTCTGGCGTTACGTTGAGCGTTGGCAACATCACGAGTAATTGCTGCGGCGACATCAAGAAGGGGATCGCGACGGGGTTGTTCCAGTCTTTTGGGAGTACGATGGGCATAGCGACGGGATATCTCTTCCCCTCGACGGATGGACCTAGCTATAAGAAAGGGTTCTGGACGTTGTTTGCGGCTACGTGTTGGACTGGTGTTGGAGCTGCTTTCGTGACGGTGATGAATATCAGGGAAAATAGGAGGCGAGATCGGGAGTTTGGGAAGCCCCCCCAGGATGTCGTGATTGATTATGACGAGGATGGCCAGATGGAGAATCATCCATATTGGAGATTCTACAATTAGGCTCTTGTCAATTGATAAAGATTAGAGACATCTGACTAGAAGCCTTACCACAGGCTCAAGGCGCTCATCAAGTGAGGCAATGGAGTTGACATAGATGTATGTCTTGATAAAGCTATATCTCGTAAGACGTGGAGTTCTTCTAGCGGCAGCTGCCCACTTCAGAGCCCATAGACTTATAGCCAACTCAAACGAGATCTGAGGATGCCCAATAGACTCACTCATCGACTTCAATGAGTCCTAGTTCTGAAAGAGGCTCTAGATCTATTTCGTCGTTGCTTCCTATGACTGAATTACTCAGACCTTCACCGTGCCTTTTGTCATCTAGGTTTTCGTTTACTTTTCCCAAGCGTCACGTTTCGGATGGCGAGATCAGGGATTCTGTGCAAGTGATGGGATTGAGATACAGTCGAGAGGGAGAAACGGAGGTGAGCAGGGGATGAGGATGCGCGCGCAGTGATCTCGATGAAATGTCGCAGCTAGGGTGATGCATTCAACTTAATTAATGATTCTCGAGCTTCAGACATCTCGGACGGTCGCTTTGAGTTACTCTGCCCCGAAAAGTCTACAGCAGTTGAGGGGCGGCTCGAAAGTTGCAATGACTTTCACTTGCCTCCCTCAAAACACCAAACCAGAAATGCTTCTAATTTTCTCACGATGGGAATTGGGGAGACGGAAATCTGTGCCATGAGGGTGCAGCTACCTTGACGCAGTAATCTCCGATGCCGGTTGTCTCATTCGTTCAACTCGCACCGTATCCACAGTTAAGTTTCAACAATAAGTTCACAACCCCAGTAAATATCGGTATTCGTATGTATAGAGATCGGGATAAAAAACCATGACCTGGCTTGACGTCTGTTAGAGCGAGGTTCCCGAGGGAACATAGCTCCATTTGCCCGTGCAGGATCCAAAAAAGTATTGTCTTGTCTCTTTTTTCTTGTCTCCTTTTCTGGTACGAATACAGATCCTTTGCTGCTTCGCTTCCGTTGCGCATTCCTCGTTTCCTCGACGAACACATCGCGTACCCATACGGGACGAGAATACTGTCCCCGAATCGTTCGGTGTCAGCTGAGCAAAGTTACTCAAATTACCCGGAGATCAACTCGAACACACGGCAAGCAAAATGGGGACCAAGACTGGTCTCGCCAACCTGCCCACCGAGCTCGTCCACCAGATCCTCGAATCTATCGCCGTCCCAGTCCGCGCCCGACGAAATGAAGAAGGACCACAGCTCAGCCCCTCGCGCGAGAGCCGCCGAGCACTGAAGAACATCTCGCAGACCTGCCGAGTAATCCGAGAACTCGCGACGCCCCTGCTGTCCAAGCACCTCTGCTTCTTCATGCACCCATCTTCCGACTTCGAGCTGTATGCCCTGCTCCAGTGGTGGTCCAGCCGTCCGGGACAGGCGTTGGCGGTGCAGTCTCTCTATATCGGTGCCAAAGAAGAAGGAGCGTCAAGTCGGCCCCAGAACGAGGATGGGCTGGCCTTCACGGCGTCGGAAATGGCGTTTCTGCAAGCCGCCGCGGAGCAATCCGGACTGCAAGTGACGGAAGATTGGCTGCAGCCGGGCATCCAGCGGACCCGTGTCTTGGCGATGATGGTCCTTCTACAGGTGCGCAACATCAAGACCTTGGAGCTATCCATCAATATCAAAGGGTTCTTAAGATGTCTCCCCGCTGGGAGCGTCGGATTTCCGACACACTACGATGCGCTTACGGACATTCGGCTCGGCAAGAACACACTTGGAACGTTTGATACTACGGATGAAGATGACCCACACTCCGGCAGCAGCGACGCGAGACGTCTGCTAGAATCAGCACCGCAGCGCGAGACAGTCCATCTTGATTTCTTCGCAGGCAACCATCGAGAGTGGTCCGCCATAGATTGGTCCAGCGTCAGGAACCTGCACTTGCGGCGGCTAGAGAGCGATGACGTCCGTGTGACGGATCTGGCGACGTTTTCCCATATTGTACATGCCTGTCGAGGCCTACGGGAGTTGTCGATTTGCCTCGATGGCGTAGAACGGATCGATGGACAACGTGGAGAGCTCATGCGACACATAGCGGCGCATAAGAAGACTCTCCGGGAACTAGACGTCGCCTGGGACTTATTAGACGAACGCGAGGAATGGGCTGCAGTGGCGATGATGCAACGTTGCCAGAACCTCGAGCTGCTCAAGTTACCTCAATCACTCGCTCCATGGGGAATCATTGAAAGGCTGCCCCCAAATACACGCTGGCTGTATGTTCCCACGGACTACTCACTTCAAAGAGACGGACAACATGGCCACTTCGAGTGGCTCAACAACTTTAGCTGTTTGGACGGTCCACTCTATGAAAGAGTGTTTGAAGATGGGAGCCTCCCAAACCTCGAAGGGGTGGTTATTCCGGCCTTCGTATGTCCACACGGTCAGCAGTGTCTGTCTGCGCTGAAAAACGAGCTCAGCAAAGGCTTCGTGCAGAAATTCCCGACCCCTTCGTCTCTAGAAACAGATGTTGCTATCGTGGAGTGTAAGGTATCGAGAAATGTTCGGGAAGGACTCTTCATGCTCCTCGAATCAGGGCTACCCTGTGGCGTGGAATTCGACGACCTCCGTTGCAAAGTGGAGATGCAGCCGGGCCACGCACCTAGCCCGGTTGCTTCTGAGCTGCAGGTGAAGCTCATTCCCTCTGTTATTTAGACCGGAAGCTTTTCACCGGAAACTCCACAAAGTATACAGAGGCCTACAACCTCCCCATCATACATTGGGGAGACAGTGGAACGATTCCTTGAATGACCAAGAGGATTGACAGTAGCACAGGGGATATTGCCTCTTGGAACATGACGATAGGGTTGGGTGGTGGTTTTCGAAGGAGTCAGGTCAGCGTTGTAAGTACAACTCTTGGGAACTGACGAGGCTACGGATGACGCATCACGTCGGACGCGTCATGTTTGTTTAACAGCGGCAGTGAGATGGGCATCCGTTTGATGCGGATATAGGGAATATCGATAGACGTAGGAGTAGTCTTCACTAGATAGCTTGGAGCAATCTGATGTTCCGTCAAGTGTAATACTTGCCTTCCTCATAACTGTCTACCAAAGTGGTCTTGGTGGCAATGCTGTACGGAAAGTGGCAGTCGTCGAGCATTCTTCCAGCTCAAATTCAACTTGTGGAGTCATGTGAGGAGTAACTGGCGGGGCGAATCGGAGGCGGCCTCAGTCAATCCAACTGTTTGGGCAACAGGAAAGAGCAAGGGTTAGCCCGGTATCTGATCACGCTGGGCAGAGGGTCGGGACGGGCGGGAGACCGGGCTGGTGACTGGGATGTTTGCTTGTGTTCCGTGGCCGGGTCATGGATAGACAGTAGGCGGCTGGGACAGGAGTGTTGGAACTCGGACGGCGGAGACGACGAGGAATGGGTATCGCATCTCGACATATGTTTGCTTCTTGGCGGTTGGTGATGAGAAATTATGTGCTTGCATGGTCTCTGCATCTTGAGCAATATCTTGAAAGGCCATGCATGACAGCAGGGTGTCTGACCATATCCGTATGATCGTAGGCTCGAATGGTGGGAGGCATGTTGGCATTCGCCAACCAGCCATTGAAGGTGGACATGTTGTTGGCGGCCCAATCTATTGGGACCAGGGATCGAAGGAGATTCGTCACATCTTGAGCCAGGCTATTGGCGGTTGGCGGTTCTGGGCGGCGGGGTCGAATTCTGTCGCTTTCGCCTGTTTGGGATGCACGTCAATCTGGACTTCCAGATCTGGCTGGAAAGAGGCGGCCAGGAGGAGGTATTCACCGTGTGCTTGACTCGGGTAAAGATTTAAATGCCATGTTCAAATGCTGCAACCGTAGCATTGGGAGAGAGAGAAAGAAGAGGGGTTCTTGAACAAGTACGACTGGTCATCTGTCAGCGACATTGGAGTGGTCCAAGTAAGCGGTTGCAGGTCGCAGGTTTTTGTCCTCGGAGGAACGTGGTGCATTGCAGAAGTCAGGTACCGGCCGGTGAGCGAACAAAGAATCTTGTTCATCAGAGAAAACAGCTGTTCATCAAGAGGAAGCTTGGTTTTACCATATGGTTAAAAGGACGGATAGAGTGAGGTGCAGTTGCCCAACATCCGTCCAGGGCAGGTCAAGGTCCAGTCGGGTCCACGGGTCGGTGCTGGACGGAATGCGGCGGAAGCTTGGGCCGGAAAGCTTCAACAGGCAAGACCCAACTACCAACCAACCAAAAGTCAATGGGAAAGACTGAACATGGACCTGGAGGGTGCGGGCGACGGGACGGGCGTGGTTGCCCTGAATGGTTGGTACATAGGGAGGTAACTGCGGTGGTGCCAGTAGGTAGGTAGGTACGAGTACCCCGTACCTGCTAGTCGACCTGAGGTTTCTGGATACGTACCGCGGTGTGACTAGCGCAAGGAGGGGCACACAAACGCGCATAGTGGAGAATAATTCAATATCCCAGCCAACCAAAACTACCGAATTACCGCCCGTAGTGGCCGGGGTCCGAACGGGAAGGTAACCCCACTGGAGCTTTCCCTTTCCCAAATCTGCGAATCACGCTGCAATGCCGGGGGTCTCCCGCCTTTTTCGACCGTCTCCGCCGTTCCTCGTCCTCCTCCCTCGGCCTTTCTGTCAAAGTTGTCGACCACATCTTTGCCCGTCACATCCTCTTCTCACTCTGCGATTCGACCGCCACCAAGAACATCAACCGCCCCCAATATGCACCTGTCCACCATGTGTGCCGACCCATGCAGCTTCTGCAGGCCCTCGCCTTGCAGTTTCTTGGTCACTTTTGCCAGCTGTTGGTCAATTCCATCTCAATGTTTCCTTCGGCGGTCAACCTGACGGCCTCTACTGCGTACTGATTGCACCTCAAAATGCTCTCCCGTCATTCCGGCGTTGCTCCAATGGCAGCTGGTGAAAGAGTAGTGTTACCTGCGCTCTACGGCCCTTCCCATCATCTTATGGCACATGGCACGACCGAACCAACAAAAACTCAGTTCCGCTGTTCCAGAAGTTACTGAAGCATATCTGTGGCCGTCAGCATCCGCATCTTCCACGCCGTGGGATGCCGCGACTGCCGCTTACGTTTCTGGACTGGCAACCTCCGGGTACACAGACAGACTTCTTCACCGAGGACGTTACCTCGACGGTATTCCAAAGTCGTTTCCTGTTTATACAGCTGCCTACGACCACCCTCGTTCAGTTCAAGTGTCTGGACATCGACCCAGACGACATCGATATGAACTAGCGCTGCGGCGACGTTGGCAATCTGGACATCTTACCTCCCGCCGATCACACTCTTCATTAATGGCGCCCGGAACCAACGCATCCATCCCGCTTGCCATCCCTGGTCTTCATCTTCAATAGTCGTTGTCTGCCGAGCAAACGGCCGTACCTTTGCCCAAGAGCTTGCAGCTTGCTCCTGCATCGCATCCACACCTCTAGCGCCCACGCACCGGCCTGCATTGTGTGACATCCGCCCGCGGGGAACGACCAGAATCGCGGCCAGCCAATATTAAAGTACGGTCAGCCGCTGGGCCTTGTGCCATTCACACTCGCCCATCCGACCCAGAGAAGCCCTTCATCCCCCATCTGGCTTTTCATTGCACGACCCCATCGAGGCCGCAGCCCATCCGACCCCCTCCACATGGAATATTCGCCGTCTTATCACATATCCTCTGCCTTTACACATGTCACCACGCTTGACTGAACCCGCTTCCCAACCGAATCTGTAGGCAACGTGACGAGACTGTCGATAACAGAGGTGTGCTCATCACGCCGCCCACACCCCAGAGTCAACAACTGGGACCTCTCCACTTCGGAGCGTCTCCGATCTCACCTCCATATATCCCCTGGTGGCGCCCCCAATTCGCGCTTCGCCGTGCTCCCGTCTGTTTTCCTGCCGGTCGCTCGTTACTCCGCCAAAGCATAGCATCGCATTGCATCGAACCTACTCATCTTGGCCCCGCTACCAAGGGTTCTTGCACACATCACGCAACACCTCGATTCTTCTCAGCTGGCAACACGATCAACCGACCAGCGAGGGGCAGGTGTCTTACGATCTCGACGACTCCCGGCCATTAGACTCTTTCAGACTGCACCGTATGTCGACATAACTGTACATTTCCGCGCGCAGTCGCCTTACCGCGCAGTATAATTCAAGTTCTGTCGCCTTGCTGCAATGGCTACTCGTATCCGCGACCTGGCAGACGCTGCCACCAAAACGGCAGCACAACTAGCCAAGCGCATTGCCATCACGCCCAAACCCGACAGTCCGCCGGGTTTAATCGAGGCCTTAACAGTTGACCCTTGGTCCAAGTCTGGGAAATATGGCATGGGCTGGACTTACTTCGCGCTGGCCCTCATGGGAACAGTTCTGTTTATGCGATCTTGGCACTTTTGGCAAGACAAAATTCGCCAAGCCATCTACAAGCAAGAAGTGGAGGAATACTATGCCAATCTCTACAACACTGATCCCGACTACGCGCACGCCGTACATACGGGACAAGCACAGCACTTCTTCCCCGACTCTGAAGGGCTTGGCGAGAAGCAATTCAAGCCAAGGGCTCACTTCTCCTCAGTTGGCTTCGTTAACGATACCTTGGCCCTCTTCCGCTGGGTCTTTTACCGGCCGATTCCCGACTTTGTATGGGGTAGCCACCGGTTCACATTCTCCTCCCTCGCCGTAGTTACCTGCGGTCTCATCGCTTTGGCTTTTGTGACGCTCTACTGCTTTCTCCAGCAACCACTCTACTGGCAGAGCATTCAATTCGGTTCGCCACCCGTTGCTATTCGAGCCGGAATGATTGCTGTCGCATTGACACCTTGGATCATTGTGACCAGCATGAAGGCAAATGTCTTGTCCATCCTGATTGGCATCGGGCCGGAGCGCCTCAATGTCTTCCACAGGTGGGCAGGCTACCTCTGTCTGTTTCTGTCGCTTGTACACACCATTCCATTCTACGTTCAGCCAGTATGGGACGACGGTGGCATGGATGTCTTTTCTCGCCTATTCCCCGGCGGCAGCGGCGTCATCTACGGTACTGGTATAGCCTGTCTTGTGCCACTGGTCTGGCTTTGCGTCGCATCTCTGCCCTTCATTCGCCGAGTCGCATACGAGCTCTTCGTCATGCTACATGTACCTGTTGGCATGGTGTATGTTGGGCTCTTGTTCTGGCACACCAAGAATTACCTTGCTTCTTGGGACTACCTGTGGGCAACAGTCGGCATCTGGGTTCTCTGCTATGCCATTCGCCTGATAAACCTCAACTGGACAAGACCATGGCGACTGAGCTTCATGGTCGGAGATGAAGCGGCCATTAGCCTTCTCGCTGAGAACGCCATCAAGATTACGATCCCGACTCAGATGAGGTGGAAGCCTGGCCAATATGTTTACCTTCGCATGCCGGGAGTCGCCTTTTTCGACAATCACCCTTTTACCATCTCGTCGCTCTGCAGCGAGGATTTCCCCTCCGAGTACGGCGAGCAGTACCGTGATTGCGTGCTGGTTTTCAAGCCGTATGGTGGTTTCACGCGGAAGGTCCTCGACATGGCTATCGAGAGGGGGCCATTCCACACATATCGCGCCTTCTTGGATGGGCCATATGGAGGCATGCGAAGAGACCTAGCAGCCTTCGACACCTGCATCCTCATTGCCGGTGGGAGCGGCATCACGGCTTTGATGTCGCAATTACTCAACTTGATCAAGCGCATGCGTGATGGGAAAGCCATCACGCGCAAAGTGGTCGTGGTATGGGCCCTCAAAAGACTCGAAGCCATGGACTGGTTCCGTGAAGAGCTCAGAATCTGCCGCGAGTCTGCGCCGCCAGAGAGTGTTACTTGCAAGTTTTTCGTCACTTCAGCAGTGCGCAACCGGGCCATGATGATGGCTGGCCACGATCGTCCTGCACCGAGGGCCTTGAGTCACATGTTCCATGACAAGCTCGATGGCTTCGTGGCAGGAATTGCTTCCAAGCGCAATTCTGCTCTCATCCAGTCTGTAGCACAAGGCGATCCTGACCGAGAGCAGGAATTGCGCGCCGAGCAAGAGGATAGAATCACCGCCTTACCGCAACAGAAATATTTACAACCACATCAATACCCACCTCCACCCCCAGGACCACCACCCTCTAATCGCTTCTCTGCCCAGGAAGAGTCGTTGCGTAAGCTTGAGGGCCGCGAATACGATGAGGAGGAAGATAGAGATTCCAAAAAGCGCGAGTTCCACTTCCCTCCCATCAACACCAAAGGCGAAGTGCCGCACTTCAACTACGCACCTGCCTCCCCAAGGAAGATCCCCGAGACAAGCCCGCGAAACTCGGATGTGCCAATACGGCCTCCAGAGCTGGCCCACTTGAGGACGACCAACCTCCCGAGCGCAGGTCAAACCCGTCCCACCAGCACGTTCGGCCCGCCTTCAGGCTTTGACTTTGGCTTCCCGGAGACGCCGACAGAGTTCCAAAAAAGCCTGATGCGCTTTGCTTTCCCCGTGCCCCATCAGATCGATGGCGGCTGGAGCGTCGAGTATGGCCGGCCCGACTTGGGATACATGCTGAAAGAATGGGCGACGGGCGGTGCCGACGGAAGAGGCATCCTCGGCAGGCGAACGGCGGTATTCGTGTGTGGGCCGCCAGCCATGCGTGTTGGCGTGGCAAACACTGTTGCCCGGCTTCAGGCAGCGATATGGGGTGATGACATGCTCGAGGAGATTTACTTGCACACTGAGAATTACGCCCTCTAAATCAGGGGCTTGTATTTGTAATGACTGGACGGAAAAGATACCACGGATGACAGCATTTTACATCCATAATAACGAGCCTTTTATTTCACTTCAAAGATCGATACGTGCCTGCTTCCGGTGTACGTTGTTGAACCTCAACGAGTTCATGCTTGTAGGGAAACCCATGAGACAGAAGGTCGGAATGAAGGAGGCAGACGTAGGCTGTATAGGTCGGGAGCTTGTTTGACCTTGATGTGTTTAGAGTCGTTGTCGTCGTGGTAACTCAGTGAGCCAATATCACAGCATGTTAAGCAGGTAAACCAGCGAAACTTATCACCAGAAACCCTTATGACAACAAGGCCACAGTAAGGTAGTTGCAAGGATGCAGATGATATCTCCATTGATGCATGGATAGGCGCCAGTGACAGCTTCCCCTCCCTGTGTTCATAGTAACGCCCCTTGTATGCGAGTTGCAAAACTGTAAAACATGGGGAACGTCGGAAATACTCAAGATTTAGCCACCCGGGCGCTAGGACGGTGTGTAGGGCTGAGTTTGGGTTGCTACCCTTGCAGGATTCAAGCCGGTGACATCGCGACCTCTACGGCCCTGCCATTCTCTTACAAAAAGGGCTGCACCACCCGTCGTTTGGCATTGCTGTTCGTTTTGATCTTCAACAGCTCCCACAGACATACACATTTTCTTTGTCTGTATTGATTCTTGAATACACTGCCCAAGACCGTCTTCATGTCTTCATCCGCGAATCACGTCAATCCACCATCTACTTCAACAACCACAATGTCGTCAAACAACTCTTCATCTCCAACCGACGCCAATGCCAAGGAAAATGGAATGTACGGCATCAGCATGGTCACCGCAACAGCCTACCTCCGCAAACTCCAGCGCGAAACTCCGCCAGAAGAACTCAGAAAAATGCTAGACAACATGGCGAAAGAACGCCGAGCTTCTCCCGAGGAGCGAGTTCGCAGGAAAGAAGCCAGAGCCCGCTTGGTGGCAGCGCGGGAGAGAGTGGAAGCCCACCGCGAGGAGCGGAGGGCTCAAAGAGAGCGCGACTTTGAGGCAGGAAATCAGGGGCCGAATGATACTTCGCGTCCTACGATGGAATCAACTGAAAGCCAGGCCGAGAGGACTGAGGATAGGATGCCTGAGACTGGTTTCTTTACTGGTTTCCGACTATCGCAACAGCTGGGCCACGGATATGTAGCTTCGGGGTCTGGAGACTATACTGTTCCGTTTGAGGCACTGGACGGATATAGCGAATACTTGCCTCAGAGTGCTGCCCTGTATGGATCGGACTGGATCCTTCCTTGGACGGACGTCCGCGAGGATGACTAAAGGGAATAAGGACAATTTCCTTCATTCCGACTTGTATTGCTACATCGGCATTCCTCTTATCGAGAATTCTGCTGGCGATGAAACATACAACGACCTTGAAGGGGCGGAACTCCCGCCCGGAAGCCTAGGTAGCCCGAAAGACTCAACACAATCATAAAGACAGAAAAGGACACTTCGGGTAAAGTTGACTGAGGTGAATGGGAGACGACACAGGTATGACTCATTTCAATAGGGTTGAGCAACGTGAAGATGTCGCTCATTTGCTTTACTTCAGGGACCAAGTCAGAAAACCTGCGACATCGGGTCAAGATATCGGGCTTGAACTCGCTGCGTCGCACACATGGTGCATCACATAGCACTACTAGCTACATTGATCGTCTACAAACATGCACAATTCAAATAATTCCCATTGGCTTTCGTGTGATTTGCCTTGCTCTTTGCTTATCTCTCTCTCAGCCGCTCGAAACACCGCTATCGCAACTGCGGATGTTTGCGCTCCGCACATTGACGATAGGGTTGAGAGCGAGAACACCGGAAGTTCTTGGCAGTGCGCCGGCCCCTCGCCCCAACCCAAGCATCCACATTCTTCATTATACAACATCTGATGATCGATTACTGGTTCAGTCAAGTGGATGACGCGATAGTTTGTTGCTAAATACTTTCCTTTGCTCTAATTCTACTAGCCCTGTCACTGCTATCTCTATTATTACTACTGCTATCCTTGCTGCTGTTCTTGCTACCGCTATGATTATTGTCTACTTCTTATGTATTCCACGCAGAATACCCATCGGAAAGCGCAGGGTAGTTATGATAATAGCTCTAGACTTTGTAATGGTAGCTCTAGGAAGGCAGTTAATACTCGGAATACTCGTCGACTGGTGTTTGATTTTATCGCCCACTGGCCAGACTTTTGTGATAAATCCCTTATTCCGAAAATCATCGGGGGGAATTCTAAGCCGGTATGGATACTTGGATCCTTTGCGCCCTTGAATTGACAGCAACGTCATTCCAGCATCCCACGGTGATCTGTCAGCAAACAGGGCAGACTGGAGAAAACCTATGCTTTGATTCGCCTAACGCCCCCGCGGAGATCTAATCAAGAGGCCGATAGATGGAGCAAATGAGCAGCATTGAAAGAAAAAGGGTCCATGCATCTCCCCACGGCGCCTATTACCTTACCGTGCTTACCTTAACCAGCTAACTGACCCCGCACATCTCCATCTTATCCAATGCTCTAATCATGACAGACAGGGAAGAAGAGGAGGAGGAAGAGGAGAAAGCTCAGCTTCCTTGTTGCCGGCACTAACGCTAGCCGAAAGTCTCAAACACGTATAAAAACGGCGATCGGACATTCTGTACTGTAGATTCCCCCTCATCCCAAGCGGTTAAAGTCAGCCTATTCCAAACATCTCGACTTCATTACATCCTTTACTCTTTTTTTTTCTACACTGATTACTGAACAGTTCATACGTCACTATACACAATGGGTCTGAAGGGAAGCTGTATGTGCAAGGCGATCAAGTACGAGAGTACTGGTAGGCTGGCCTGATTGCAACATCGTGTGAACCACGCTGATAAGAAGTAGAGGACCCTCAAGTCACCGCCCTGTGCCACTGCACAGATTGTCAAAAGGTATGAAAACCGTATCTCACGACTCTCATCAAGTCCATACATGTTGCTAATGAATTACAGTGGAGCGGCTCAGCTTTCACTTCCAACGCCGTCGTTCCTCGTACATCTTTCAAGGTCACCCAAGGTACGAGAGGCTCACCTGGGCTCATAATCTTCCCTAAATATGCACTAAACCCTGATCATCTAGGTGAGCCCAAGTTCTACGACATCACTGGCGACTCGGGCAAGAACAACAGGCACTTCTTCTGCTCCAACTGCGGGTCCAGTCTCTATACCGAGCTGGACTTGATGGCCGACGTCACGTGCATCAAGGCTGGTGGTCTTGATGAGGGAAAGGCGAGCTTGGAGGGGAAGCCCGCCGTCGAGTTCTACTGCAAGGATCGGGTCTCGTACTTGGTCGATGTTAAGGGTGCTGATCAGAAGCCCGCTTTCAGTTGAATGGTGAGACGTGTGCGGTATACATGTAGCTAAGATTCCTTTATAGGCGAGCATTGAAGTTGCGCGATGATATGAAATGAAGTAAACCAATCCTAGTATACCCAATTGTCTCCTATAGTTGGTGGGGTGAGACTTTCCCAAACTAACCTGTCCCATCTCAAAATCTCAGGCACAGCATTAGAACACCCTTCCCGTATACAAAACAACTGAAACCTTGAGGCTTCATTGCCACGGAATGTCATAGGGTCAAGACACCTGATCCACCTTTCTAGACTTAGCTGGCCGAACTTTGGTCGAACTCTGAAATTACCCTCGCTGTTAGAACATAGGGAAAGATGCAAAGAGGACTGTTCCTTTTCAAGCAAGATCTGACGCCCATCCAAAATCCACTCATAAACAGTTGGGCAGCGTGGGCACCTGACGAGATGTCGACATGCATTGCCGCCGGCCATGAATCTGCCCATCAAATCGGGGTTGGAACGATTACGACACGCGCAGCACCTGCAAAGTTCTAAGACTTCGGGACTGTGCCAGTGCCAAATGTTGCCCCGGTCGGAGGGGTTTTGAAAGCAGATACAGTATCCCTGTTCGAAGGCACGCATGAGAAAGGTATCGCCAAAAGCCACGTGAGGGCATAGAAAATGACTGAGCGGCTGTAGCCCCCGAAGAGATTGTTGAAGACGCTCTTTGGTGAGCACCTCCCCTCGACCGATCTTGCAGATGGGGAGTTTCCATCGTGCTATCAATAGAGGTTGCTGATAGTATTTGATAATACCGTGCACCCAAGTCCCACGGGACATGTAAATACCAGGGGCCATTCCGCCACCAAGCTTGAACACCGGGGCGCATAGCTGGCATTCAAATAATTGAATGTAATAATCATCGGAGTCCAATCTTGTTGTAAGTTTGTCCCTGTGCATCTTTTTGAATGACTGCTGATAGTGTGGGCAGATGATTAGCTTCCCTTCCCGTGGGATGCACAACTGGGTTTCTGGAGTCGACATTCCATCCGAGAACCAAGATCTCAAGTGCTTCGTTCTGCAATATAGGCAGAACAAGGCGTCGATACAGATTAAACCTTTGTATCTTCTCCTCGGCGCACGCAAAGCGCAGTCTTTGCAGAGAACCCCCCTTTGGACACGCTCTCTAAAATCTTGTTTGTCTGAGTATGAGAGCTGCCTAACGTCAAATCTCATCAGCATCTGTCTCTTTTGTTGAATTTGTCCTTTAATAGAGGCCTCCTGTTTCTTCGAATCTGCCAGGCGCAAGAACAGTAGGCAGGCCATCAAGACAGTCATCAATCGTGATATGAGGGACTTTCCGACGTCCTTGCTTTCGGGCTCTGCAGGTGAGTCCTTACTATGATATCTAGCAAAGGTTCGGTGGGAAAAGGCGTGCAAAAAGATTGCCGAAGACTGTCGAAAAAAGTAAAGATCATCTGGAGATAAGAAATCCATTATTTCAAACAGGAGTTCTGTTGGAGGTCGGTGCAAGATGGAGGTCTGCGTGCGAGTCTGGCTTCGTCTGGGTGCAAAGCCAACCCATGGCCCGAAGGCAGGAGACCCTGTAACGTAATAAGAGCAGAAGCGGATCTCGTCATCCCCAACTGGCTCTACAAGGTAGCGACATTAGGTTCTCGAGTCAAGTATTGGTTATGTATGACCATAGTCTTGATAAACCTGTGAAGCGACTTCATTACCATTTAAAATCACGAAGAAGTCACGACGACATGAATAACGGCCAGCAGTGAGGAGAGATAGAGGGAGAATCCATTCGCTTTCAGTGCCCGTCGTTGAGGCAAGTCACTTACCTCCTTTGATCATGAGGAATTCATCAGCAAATTTCATCGATCTCCCAGATCGTTGTTCAATGGAGGATAGCAAGGCTCGTCCAATGGGTGGAGGGGAAGCATCATCGTCATCAGTGTCCCTTTGCCAATTGGAAGCTTGCAGCGAATAAACATGGGTCAAAGGAGGGTAACAAGAAGGTCTTACGTCTCCCGGGTGTACTTCAGCTTTGATGAGACGGAGTGAAAGGGTAAACAGTGCATGAGATATGTGTGTTGATGAAGAAGCCCTAGGAAATGTAAGATACTCCAGTCTCAAGTTGGATGAACAGTGTATAAATTTATGAAATGGATAATACAGATTAAGTCCCAGAATCAGCAAAGAGGTATGAGTGGAATCAAATTCCAGGCTGGTGCACCATTGTTATGTACTATCTGGTCTCCCCTGTTGTAGTCCACTGGTAATGGCACCCGTTATTCAAGGAACAGGCTTTAATTTCCATAAGCTTTTATCACTAGTGAAGAGCTTATCCTAGTGCAATCTTGCTCTCTTGGCTCTTCCAGATGACCTGTCATTTCGTGAGTATCATGTTTCAACATAGCGCAGGTAGAAAGCTTACCGCATTTCAGTGGCCCCCTGATTCTTCAACTCCACCTCCTCATCCCATTCATAGTCGTCCCTCCCCTCCTTGCCAGCGCCACGGAACAAAACTTTGACTTCGAGCTTCTTATCAAATCTCTTATACGCCTTGGGAGCATCATCGAGGTCGTACTCTGCCGTAGCAATGAAACCAGGTCTAGCCTGTCCGCTCTCGACCAGCTTCACCAGTGCAGCAAACGTCGGCTGCCCCTGAACAATACCGCTCTTCATCGTCAGCGCCTTGATCCAAAAGTCACTCATTGGCAGACTGAGGTTCTTCTTCATCTTATCTGCATTGGGCGCGCCCGCGCTCTTCTCCTGGGCCCAGTAGACGCCCGGTATCCCGATCCCGCCGCCAACGGAAGTGACAGCGATGGCCTCACGCAGAATGTAATCTTGCTGCGGCTTCAGCTCGGCATTGACACACTCCTGCCCGCAGCAGTCAACGCTACGGTTCACGCCGCCGGGACGGAGAGCCAATATCTGCTCCGAGGCCGAGGCACCGCCCTTGGTAAAGTTGATGGGAACGGCACCGATGCTGGCGGCTTTGGCTAGGCGCTGTGGAACGTGGTCAACGACGTAGACTAGGCTAGCACCGCGAATGATGGCGCTATAGGCGCATAGCAGGCCCACAGGACCGCCACCAAAGACAGCCACGGAGTCGCCTGGCTGGAAGCCCGACCAGTTCAGCCCTTCCCATGCGGTGGGGAAGATGTCGCTGAGGAAGAGCCACTCCTTGTCGGACAGCTTCTTAGGAATCTTGATGAGGGAGCTGTCTGCGAAGGGCACGCGGGCGTACTCGGCTGGAATCAAGGTTAGTTTCTTTCTATATCTTTGTAGTATTGAGTGGCGCAGACACTCACCTTGGAGACCACCTAGATCGCCAAAGTCTTTACCAAGACCGAATCCACCAAGCTGAGGGAAGATCTGGTTGTCAGTGTCGATGACACCGTCTTCGGGAAGGCCAAAGACGACAACGCGATCACCGACTTGCAGATTGTCAACGGCATCCCCTACCTCCTCGACAATTCCCATAGCCTCGTGACCTACTGGGTAGGGCACTTCGGCGCTGGACATGATGCCATGGTAGATGTGAAGGTCAGTGCCGCAGATAGCAGATGTGGTAATGCGGACGATGGCGTCTTCGGGCTCCTTGAGACGCGGGAGTGGGATGTCTGCTTTGACAGCCATCTCATAGGGTTTGCCTTCCCAGACCACGGCGCGCATGGTCTTGGGACGTGAGGTTTGATGATTGGTCATGGTTGTTATTTTTGAGGAACTGGGAATGGTATGAGAGACAAAGCTCAGTGATTGCTCTGTCAGGTATCCTCCTTTGTGGACATCTTTATAGATCTTTGCCGTGAATGATCGAGAGACGGTTTGTCAGATGCTCATTCTTTCCTCGGCGAAGATGGGTACCATTCAGAACCGAATCGGACATATCTGACCCCTTTGTCGACCCCATCATCCCCGACTTGTCATTTCGGTGGCGGAAAATGTCACCTGAGTATGAATAGCCAATTCCCCAGCCCAAGCCTCGTCATCTGGGCAACGGTCATCATCGAATATGCTCGATGTAGAAAGGCAACTATGCCAAGAATGGACCCCGTGAAGCTGCTTTGAGTACGATTTATCCAATTCACCTTAGTCAGACGTCTAGCAAAAGCTGAACGGAGGTTCTTCCTTGCCCAAGATGGTGCGCAGCCTGTATTCGATATCACGTAGGGCTGACCGTGTTACCCCGGCGGCTCTTGGTCTCAGGGGTTGTGGTAAGCTGACAGCGACCCCTTCCATGCCAGGGCGCCCAGCAACTACGCATGAACGACTGACGGCTCTTACCCCTGTCGATATTCGATTGGAAAGTGTGTACGAGAAGGGGCTGAAGCTGACATGAAGGTAGCCACTTAAGGCATGTGAGCTCATCTCAATCCTGCTTTGGGTAAAGACATCAATGATAAGTCAAATGGGAACAGTCTGTCTCGGGAGGGGTGAATGTGCATTCGAAGGTGCCCGCAGTAACTTAGGTGTCTATGATACAGGTAGTATTACAAGAATGGAGTCAATTGCATTCCTCTGGGTCGGAGACTGAGTGCACGACAATGGACTTCATCTCATTGGAAGCGCTTAGGCTTAGAAACGAACGCGACCCTTGGTGAAAGCCAAGGCGAGCCAACCAGCAATCAGAGCAAGGCCACCAATTGGAGTGACGGGACCGAGGAACTTAAGATCAGGGTTGAGGATAAGGGCGTAGATGCTACCGCTGAACATGGTCGCGCCGGCGGTGAAAAGACCGGCAGCGAGGGGGTTGGATCGAGCGATGAGAATGGCAACGGAGTGGACGAGCTAATGATTTTCCTAGGGTCAGCTACTGATCTCACTGATAATGATAAGTGAAATAAGATGAGCGCAACTCACTTGATAGTGAGCGGCGGTGGACCAGCTGGCAATCTTTGCGGGATCAGAGATGCGGTTCTTCAGGCCGTGGGCTCCGAAGGCTCCGAGACCGACGGCGGTTGCGCCGAAGATGGCACCGACTCTCCAAAAGGCCTGGCTGCTCATTGTCTCTGTTTCCTCGGCGGTGGTACCGGGGTGGATATTTCGTGATGGCAAGAGCGAGGTCGTCTCGTTTGCTTGAGCGCTGGACATCGGGGACGTGAGACGAGAGTGAGATGTGAGATGAACTGTTGAAATTCGGTGGTTCACTTCTGAAAGTTACGTGATGGGCCGGTGGGCTGAGAGCGCGAAACACCGAAGAGCGACCCCTTGGCATTTGCTTAGATAATCAAGCTGCAAAGCATTGCCAGCTGGTCCCGACCGGCGCAGTACTAGAACTTGGCGACAGGTTTAAAAGGGAACACTGGAACAAGGAAGGGGAAAGGACCTCTTGTCTGTCTACCATTATACGGAGTACAGCAGGGTCTTTTCTTAGCCGGCTCGGTTGGTTCGGGCTTGGTATCATTTGAATGCCGGGCCGGTATCTGTGGACTCGGAGGTCTTCCGTGCGGAGCTCCCGCCTGCGGGTTGAGCTGTCAACTCCACCAGGGCACGATTCCACCCACACTAGGGCAATCTCTGGCTCGCGTCTTCAACAATTCATATGGTCTGGTGGTGTAGTTGGTTATCACGTCAGTCTAACAAGTTGAGACTCTCTCACGATAATCTCACTGTTCACTGAAGGTCTCCGGTTCAAGTCCGGGCTAGATCATCGTACTGGGCGATTGGTTTAGTGGTATAATGACCGCTTAGCATGCGGTAGGTCCTGGGTTCGATTCCCAGATCGTCCATTCTTTTGTCGAAATCGGGGGCTGAACTTCAAGATTGTGTAGTGATGTTTTTTTTGACGTCGTGGTAGTGGTTTCCGTGGGTGTAGGTGAGCGGCTACTCTATTTGGAGACAAATCTTTTCCCCATTGAGGAGTCTTTGTCATACTAGTGGAAATGCTTGGACCGAAAAGTTTCTGAGTGGAAGAGACATAAGGGGAATAAGACAATCTGCCAGCATTCAACTCGAATTGATAATGAGAGACAGAGGGCAATAACACCATGGGTGTCCGTGAACCAGAATATTGAGGACATTGGTGCCCACTGACATTGTGGACCAGTCCGTACTCAGAAGGCTCTAATTGGTTCGGGTTTGGACTGCCATCGACTGTCCAATCGCTCACTTTACAGTACGTGCAGGGATAAATACGACGGACGCTAAGACAGGCGATGAGCTTCTTCGAGGCGTGTCACCCAGTGACGATCAGACATATCCGGACTGTGGATGGCGTTGCAAATGAAAACATTTCATTGTTCTGCTGAAGTGATGCCTGAACATTCGAGGCAAACGTAGAATGTTGCATATTTATAGCTATTACATGAACAACGTCGGCTTGCATCATCTCTTTATGGGATTTCACTTTGAGTTCGACCAATCATCAGACGAACCGTCCAACGAAACCACCTTTGGACGTACGGACATTACGAGATCTCACTAGCAGCCCACGATATACGCGTATTTCGAATTCTGTTCGGATGACCCTGCCTTCACGGTTTCTTCAGATATTTGACGCAGGACAGCTGAGTATAAATCTCTGATCATCTTGAACTTCTTCTCGCGAAATCGGCGTTCTCTAGTAACCACAAACCCGTCAGAATCATGCACTGCCGCTCATTCCATGAAGTCGAGCGAGCTGGAAAGGCGTCTTCGGTCGCACAGTGCGTGGTCCAAGAATATGCTTGTTAGCGGGGCTTGAGATTGGACCGAGGCTTTAAAGGAGTCTTTCTGCCCTTCCCGATCATGTTTCTGGTAATAATTCATTCAATCGCTTGATTTCTCTCTTGCCTCTTGAAGCCATTCCATCTCAGTGTATTCGCATCAGACGAGCTGCTTTTGCTTCACATTCGCCCGAAACTCGGGAGTGAAAGCCCCTCGAGGAACATCGGCAGTTTTAATTACGCCACTTCGCCCGCTTGTCACCGGAAGCTCTTGGCAAAATGCGCCAGCGGACACCTCATCGAAAGTCGAGATTTGGATGCAAAGAGTGTAAGCAACGTCATGTAAAATGCGACGAGTCCCGGCCGGCATGCGTCAACTGCACGACTGCTCTCAGGAGATGCTCATATCTCGACACTGAGGCGGCAGTACCATCATCATCCACGTTCTCGTACCAATGTCCAAGCCCAGCAACATCAATAGGGTCATCAATAGCAAGCCCGGCGGTTCCCATCAGCCCGGAGCAAGCGACTTGCCGTAATAGCCATGTGCCGACAGAGCCATACGATCTCCGGCACATGGAGTTGCTATACCATTTCGAGCATAACTTGGGCTACAGCCAAGGGTTCGGCGATACTCTCACGCGACAAAAATACCAACAAATGTCACTAAAGCAAGCTTTCCGGGTGCCATTTTTGATGGACGAGCTTCTAGCTATAGCTGCAGCACACAAGAGCACTTTGCCGGGAGAAGATCAGGCTTTCTATCGCAGCGAAGCAACTCGCTTACAGACGAGAAGCCTTTCACGTTTCAAGGTGGCTGACGGCGATCTGTCTGATGAAGACTTCCTTACAGTATTCCTGTTTTCCACCTGGCTCGGTCAACACGTTCTCTTCGACACGTTCTCGATCCCCGCTGATCTTCCAGTCACTCTGGATAAGCTAGTCCACTGCATGGGCCTCCATCGGGTCGTCCGGAGCGTCGTAGGGGGCTCGTGGGACAGGCTCCGGTGTCACTTTGATACCCATCTAGGTGCAGGGAGCCGCTTCGTGCAGAACATGATAATCAGAAGAGAACGGTACGAGACTGGCAACGAGTGTAAACATCTGCTGCGCCTCTTTGAAGCGAGCGACCTCAACGATGCGTCCAAGGCAGCGTGCCAGGAAGCAGTCGAGCACCTGCAGCTCATGTTCGACATTCATCGCAACACGGACATACCTGCGGGTCGGCGGTACAGCACTGTACAGGAGTGGTCAATTCGGGTTCCAGCCGAGTATGTCAGCCTGCTCGACCAAAGACGGCCCGAGGCGCTGGTGGTGCTGGCATATTGGGGCGTGTTGATGCATAAGGCGAGAGACTGCTGGGCGTTCGGGACCGCGGGACAGAACCTCGTAAGGTCCATTGCAGCTCATCTTGGGTCGTATTGGGGGGAGCTATTGGCGTGGCCAAAGGAGATGACAGAAGCCCCTGTAATTTCGATATCAGGCCCAACTTGAGCCCGTCATGAATAAAGTTCCGTGAGGCGAGTGATGGGGATTAGTATCCAAGAATCAGCTTTCTTCACCCAGTGTGAGGCGTGGAACCAGGCCGGATAACCGCTATCTTCATCCTGTGCTCGATTGTGCCATGCTACATCTGAACTTGGATGCTGCCAACCCCACGAGGTCTTACTTTAGCAGCTGCACATCCCCACCTATCAAAGACTCACGCTGCATTTCTCTTGAATGATGGTAACAAAGGACCACTGAATAAGCTACATGTAGTACGGGGCAAGCTCGTGGGGCGGGATCATGCTGGCTTCGGCACGATCTGGGAGGGTCCGGCCTATGTGTTCCCAACAAGGAGTGAAGCAGCCTGAGTATTCGCCAGCCCTGCCTGGAAGATCAGGAGAAGCGTGATTGCATAATTCTACCTCTGCTGCAGTTCCTCACCCAAAGTATAATGCACTAATTCGGTACAACGACACCATCCAGGCCCTGGGAGGCCAGACCGATGTACCTCTACGTGACAGTGCCATGCTCGCTCATAGAGACTTGGTAGTAGCAGCGAATGAATACACAGATGAGATATTGCTTGCAGAATATAAGGATATGTGATTTAGGGTTCTCAAGTAATATGTACATGTTTCATTTCCTTGCAACATCGAACGTCCATACTTCAATGGCCTCAGACCAATCTTCACGCCGTATTGACATCTGGCTCAGGTTCATCATGATGGACTTAGTGACTAGTTCCTTGCCCAGAAAAGATCACAGAAAATCTTTCTCAGACGGAGTCATGCCTGTGCCCACTTATGGTGACTTGGCTCGCGGGGAAAGATTCACCTTCATCTCTGTCTTGTGCCAGGTAGTAAACATCTTTTGCCTCCCTAACCAGCCTGCACTATCAGCGTGTAACTTCATGTCAAAGTTCCACACGACGCGGGCAATGATTGTCCGGATCTCGGCATAAGCCAGACTATGAAGTTGATCAGTCACATTCACTCAAAGGAGGAGTCTGAGACCTACTTCTTTCCAATACAGTTCCTTGGCCCGAATGAGAACGGCTGGGCCGCTAACTTCTGGTCCGACTCAAACTTCTGGTCTCCGAGCCATCTCTCGGGATGAAACTCGTCGTGCTTACTGAAGTGAATCGGCGATCGGTTGATGGCCAGGTGGTGAACGCCGACTGAGTACCCGGCAGGGACGAACTGTCCACAGACCATTCTTCCGCCATCAGGGACCACGCGAGGAAATGTTCCAGGACCAGGAGGTCCTAGGCGAAGGGCCTCTTCGATGGCAGCGTTAAGGTAGCTCAGCACAGCTGTGCTCTGGATGGTGATGTCGTCTTCGTTCTCGAAAGTGTTACGGATCTCCGCAGTGAGCTTGGCCAATGTTTGCGGGTTCTCGCAGAGGAGATAGGTGGCTGCGGTCAGACCCGTCGCTGTAGTCTCACTGCCAGCGACGATGAGTACCTGGGCAGCGGCATAGATCTCCTCGGTTGACATGCCCTTCTCATCGCTCCCTTGCAAAATGTAGTACACTATGGATCCCGTCAGCGACCTGCCTTGATTGAAGTTAGCAGATGTGAACCTACTGAAGTCGGGACGATCGGTCTCTTGCTCAAGACGGCGGTTCACACGCTCAACACCAAATTGGAACTGTGCAACTCTCGTCTTGATGAGGCGGCGGGGAATGAGAAGCAGAAGCATCTCAGACAGCGGTGACGGGAATCGACGGGCAGCACGGAGGTAGGTCCCAGCCTGAAAGATATCAAAGACAGCATGCAGCCACCAGTGCCACTTAGCATCGCGCAGACAATAGAAAGGCTCGCCAAAGGCTAAGTCACCAATAATGTCAAAGGTGGTGAAGTTGTACCAGGAATTCATGTCCACGACAGCCGCGGATTCTGCGCTCCCACTGGACGCCTGACCGTGGAGCTTGTGAATGAGAAGCTTGACATAGCCGGTGATGACGGACTCTTGAGCCTTGAGGGCCTTGTCCGAAAAGGCAGGATTCTGGAGCCTGCGCATACGCTTGTGGCCGGCATCGTCGGCTGTGAGGATATTCTCGACGCCGTTGACATTCTTGTTCCACCACTGAGCGTCTTTCTCAAAGTTACCTGTACCCTCCTTGTTGGGAAAGCCTGCGTAGGCGTTGCGTTAAAATGATTGAGCGCCAAGATGATGCTGATCCCTCTGAACATACCATATATCGTTTGCCAAGCCTGACCAGAAGTGTATGACAGCTCGCCGGGGGCGATACGGACCACCTCTCCGTACTTCTCGTGCCACTCCTTGACCTTCCAGTGGCTCACACCGCGAACATCAAAGAATAGATAGTACGCCCTCGTCACACCGGCGAGCTTCGGACCGGGGTAGCGGCTGAGTGGGTGTAGGAAGGCATTGTAAACGCACTTTGCCACTACTCCCAAGAATGCCTGCAAAGTGCCCTGAATCAGTAGTCTGGCTCTGCCAGTCCCAGGATCACACCTACTGCGAGAGCTAGAAGTCCCCAAAGCGCCATTTTTACCGCCTTGGTCAGTTGTGGTTGTAAGACCCCGCTGGTCGTATTTATTGCTTGCGAGGGGTTGTTGATGAAACAAATGGATCAAAAGAGCAACACGACAAGGCGAGTCTCCCACGAGAGGGCACGGGGGTTCATACAAGGAGTAAATCGGGATGTGGAAAAGACGACATGGCTACCCCAAAGGTCCTCAAAGGGGGGCGATTGTTCGACGATATGACGCATCGCGGTACTCGTCGGATCGCTTTACGCCCGCATCACGAGTCAGATGGTAAGTCCCTATCAAGGAAACAAACCGTATGTACGCGGTCCAATTGTACTTATCTTTTCCAATTAAGCAATGCTTAAACTTTCAGTCGATGTGTTCCACTGTTAGCGTAACTCCACGGCCGAAGCATTGAGAATGGGAGCGGATAAGCCCGAAGGTGTTTGAGCTTGCTTCCCTTCTTGGCAGGCCGACGTCGATGCTCATCTTGGCTTCTGGGGTAATCGTGGAGTGTGCCCTGACTCGTCGACAGTCCAGGTTAATTTATTATACTTTGACCGAGTGCCGGGCCCGGTTTATCGTGCCGATATGGGTAGATACCAAAAGCTTCGATTTGTGGAGTCTTCCTCACTTAGAATGACAAGATTGCATTACTGCGATCCGAGCGGCAAGCTCCCAGCAAGGCAAGCCTCCAACGGTCGTGCCATTGTGCTTAGTCAATGAGATAGTGTACGTAGAATTCTATAGCAGTCGTATAAGTAACTGTAGCTAACTCCGTGTATTGATTGGCAACAAGATACACCTGTTTCGAAACATCCCTATAACAAGGCCTTCGAGCGGGCAGTCTGGCTTATCTCCCCCCCACTCCGACCTTCAGACAACCCAGCCGTGCAGAGTCCTGGGTGTCGGAACACTCCTTATGGCCATCGGGTCATGTATGCGAACTAGTGGAGATTGAGAGTCGAGTTTTCTTGGAATACGCAGCTGTGGGAAATTTAGAGTAAAGGGCTGCTCCGAAAACGAGTTCGTATAAAGATTACGCGTGCCCCTCACATCAGACTCTCGGTTGTATCAATGTCCGTATGGAGCCCTTCAGAAGGAGGCAAGAAGCTATAGTGACCGGGACGTAATCTGACCAACAGATATCCTAGATGTAGTCCCTCTACATGCGCGGATAGAAAAAGAGTAGGATGTGACTAAAATGTATTTCATTCTGATGTTCACCATGACTTGACTCGGTCTCGTAGAGGGCTCCCGCCGGCATGCAACCGCCATCAGGCGAGCATCGACCTTGGAAACCGTGCTGCCGTCGTGGAGCGTCCAGGATCCCCTGGTCGGTCCAAGTTATCACGAAACTTGACAGGCCTATGCCACACATTTACCTTGCAATCCCACGAGTCGACGACTCTGAACCCCAGTATCAACAACCGCATCAGACGAACCAATGAGCTAGGCAAGAGTCGTCACCTACGGATATACCCCGACGGCGTTGGGATGGCAAAGTTGCGGGAGCTGAGGGGCTATTATAGTGATTGCTGTCGCGGGGTTTAGGTTGAGACATGTGATATAACACCAGCTAGATCGTCCGGGAGTTCTGCTGAGCTGCTTTCGCCCTCGCTCTTTCGCCTCGACTTTTGCCTCTCACCTTACTTTGTTCCAATCACTACGTCCTGCGCCGCAGTATCAAATTCAATATGGGCGAAATGATCATGTCAAATGAGCCCTGGGACTTTCTGAACTCCGTCTTGCGGTTCAGGGACGACGATTCCCAATTCTGGTGGGACAAGACAGGGCGCATGTTTTCCAAGCTCCTGAAATACGCCGGCTACAGCGCAGGAGACCAGTACCGTGAGCTCAATTTTTACTCCCTCTTCGTCGCCCCTGAGCTCGGCCCCTCACCAGACTGCCACGGCAATCAGAAGATGGAGAAGTCCTGGAACACCAGACTCTACTCCCATTGACTTCAGTTGGGAATGGGGCCGCGACAATCAAGCTGTCATTCGTTACTCTTTCGAGCCCATTGGCCTTCACGCTGGCACAGAGCTTGACCCTCTCAACAGACACGCAACAAACGACTGGATCTTCAAGCTTCAGCAACAAAAGCTGGTTCCCAACCTGGACCTGGAATGGTACAACCACTTCACAAGACAAATCCTGCCCCATGGTACGCGGACAAAGACCGTGGACTGCTTCATCGAAGAGACAACGCCAAAGGCAGGCACAGTAGTGGCCCTCGACATCGAGAAGAGCGGACCCGTCATGAAGATCTATATCTATCCCGGGCTCAAGGCTGAAGAGCTCGGCATCACAAACCTCGAGCTCGTGGAGCAGTCTATTCGTAGCCTCCCGACCGACCAGTTCAAATCACTCGGTGCCGAACCCCTCCTGGAGTTCCTTAGAGAAGGCACAAAGAAGTACAGCTTCGAGACGGGCATCCTCGCCATCGACTGCCTTGCACCGAAAGACGCTCGCATCAAGGTGTACATCAGAGCAAAGCATACAACCTTCGAGTATATGATGGACTGTCTGACCCTCGGAGGCAAGCTCGATATGTCGGGCGAGGCGATTGACGACCTCAAGGACTTTTGGAAGACCTTCCTGGCGGACGCACCAGATGTTCTCGATGATGATGCCCCCGGACGTGCATCACCGGGCTTCTACTACACCCTCGGATGTGGTAAAGCGATCTCACCAAAGGTGTACATCTCTCCCAACTATTTCAGCAAGAATGATGTAGATGTTCTTGCCCGCCTTCGCAAGTTCTTCTCTACCCGTCGGTCGGACTCAATGATGGACAACTACGAACAAGCCCTGAACGATATCTTGTAAGATCCTCTCAATCCACTCATCGCTTGCAATTGCTAACGAATCTCTTAGTGGGCGCAAAACTCTGGAAACTCGTTGTGGCAGTCATTACTATGTTGGATGTGCTCTGGCCAAGGGCCAATTAAGAGTGGTGACGTATCTCAGCCCCCAGTCATTTGACTGCGAGAAGGACATGATTCAGGCTCGGAGGCCATGATAATGAGTGATGAGATACTTAGCTGTGGCATGGTAGTGTAGCTTTCCTTTATGACTTGATATCCGATATGGTTTATGATGTTGATCGTTCCTATTTGCTCATTGTTCTAAGTCGTTTGTAGCATGAATTTGCATGTCGTAAAGTCCGAGCTTCCCGTCGGGACGAACGTTTGGTCCGTGTCTAGAAGTGGTGTTGAATTTGGTTTTTTAAACTCCGCGTTATCTGCACGATGGCAGCGTACAACGTCGTATCACTTCTTGGCAAAACGCTGACAGGCAGAAAATTGACTGGGTTCATAAATTACCACACGTGTGACGCAAACAGAATGGGACTCTACGAGAACAGAGTTCGCTGTCATCATGTCACAGCTCGCAGGTTTCAAACTCTATAAATTCTTGCAGGGAATCTACGTCATTATTCTATTCGTCGTGGGAGTTCTATCTATGTTCTCCCCGTCGGGGCGCTTAGCTCTATCGCCGCCTTTTCCAACAAATCGCACGCTCTCTTGGCACCACCCTGTGCATTGAGCTCCTCTCCAATTCTAGTCGCATTCTCCTTGTAACTTGTCTCATTGAGCACCTTGTGCACTGCATCGCGAACCTGGTCCACTGAGGGAGTATCGGTCTTCAGATCAATACCCGCACCAACCCAAGTCACTCGCGCAGCTGTGTCCTTCTTGTCCTCCGAAGTTCCGGCGCAGACGAGAGGGACGCCGTGTGAAAGGGCCTGCGTAACACTGCCATATCCACCATTTGTTACGAGCAGACGGCAGCGTGGAAGGAGGAGGTCATAGGGAACCCAATCCGCGATACGGACGTTATCCTCGATCTTGACCTTATCGCGGATCTCGTCGGCGAGTTTTGATGGCACAACCAGCAAGTGACTCTTGTCGTCTTGAAGCGCTTTGATGGCGGGAATGATAAGTGAGGTCGGGTCCATGGCAAACGTGCCCTGTGTGATTCCAATAATGGATTTGGCGTCGAGGACATCTTGCCACCATGTTGGCACACCAACACTTGCACCGGCAAGACGTGTAACCAGAGGTCCGACATAATTAGCCTGAGGAAGAATAGGCTCGGGGCCCTCCTGGAATTCCAAGGAAGGGCACGAAGCCTGGATGTGGAGGAAAGGACTGTAAGAATACGTGTCTGTGACTTTGAGGGCAGGTAATCCGAGCTTTTCTCTCTCTGGGTTGATCGTAGGCAGGACCAGTTGTGGTTGACTGATGAGCAGTCCCAAAGCAGATTGAGCAGCATGCTCGATGGGCTCGGGCCCTATGTCGGGCAGATACAACGGGACAACCCCCAGAGTTGCGTAATGAGGAATCTCGCCCAGCTCGTAGAGCGCTGCGACACCTTGAGGCAGAGCGTCGGTGAGAACAAAGTCCGGCTTGAACGTCTTGAGGACACGACGGATATCAGCGACTTGTGCCGTAACTCGCCCTAGGAACATGACTTCTGCCGTCTCGGCCATGTCTTTCGGATTAGCGCCCTCTAGGTTGGCATCTACTTTCACTACCTCCTCCGCGGCAACGAATTTCGCCCCCGATGCAAGGACTCGCTGCTCTTGAGGTGCTATGGTAGTCCAAACGACTTCATGGCCACGTTCAACCAGCTCCCTGGCGACGGCCTGCATTGGCAAAACATGGCCGGTAGCGGAGAAACAATGCAACAAGAATTTGAGCGGTTGACGACTTTTCTTGGTCGTGACCGCAGCCGTGGCCGTTCCGTCTGGTGTTGAAAGGTGCATTGCGTTCACGGGGCGGTGAAGTTGAACAGTGCTATGGTGATGATCTGTTGGATTTGGTGATTGGACGGACGAACACCTAGCGAATTCAGTTGGCATTGCAGCACGGAACAGAGACACAAAATTATTGCATCTAGCAGGTATTATGAATCTATCGATATACCTCAAACTCTAAAGCTCCTGATTCGTCCATCCGTGTCGATTTGTCAATACTAATTCAACACACGCCTAAAGGATAAGATCAGTCGTCATCGACCCATAGCAAGGATAATTCCAGATAGCTATCTTGACATTATCTTTGCAGAGCGCTGATTGAAAAGTCCCATGCGGGTCGAGATACGACGTTACAAACTCAATTATTACCCCGGACACTGGGAACCCACACGCATGAGTCGGCGAGCATCACGAGTCATTGACATGTTGATGGAGTTGATAACGAGCCGGGGGCAGTTGGGGTAGGCAACCCGGCAGTTGCAATGGAGTCTACCAGCGGAGAGACATTTGGAGGTTACGAGTAAAAGGGTCAGCGACACCGCGCTGCTTGCACCAATGTGCCAACAAGCTTTACTGCATCCTTCACAGATCTGTCAAAATGTCCCGAGCTATCGATAAACTTCCCGCTCCTGCAGAGGGCCGCTCGATGAAAGTTGTTGGACTTGGTCCTAGCCGGTAAGAATTATAGCGAAAGCGCAATATCAAGGTTTGGAGACACTTCACTCATCTATTTACCAGTACTGGAACCCTCGGTTTATGGCAAGCATTGAAGACTTTGGGGTATACCCCCTTCCACATCTCAGAGCTCCTGCCGTACGGCTTTCAGCAGATGAGAGCACTTCAGGAGGCTATCATTGCCAACGATAGCGACAAGCCATTTCAACGAGCTGAGTTTAACAAACTTTTCGCCGGTTATGATGTAAGTTCAGAAGCACCGACTTTGAGAGCTGGGCAGAGGAGCTTATTTGATACCACACACTTTTAGTGCATCGTCGAAAGTCCTTGCTATCTTTGTCCCAACATCATCAAAGAGTACCTCAAAGACCCGGATGTTAAATTCATCTTGACGGAGCGTACACCGGAGTCATGGGCCAAGTCAATTGCGGGATCCCTCGGAGCCTATCATGCAAAGCTAGCGAAGCCGCCGTTGTCAATTGCCAGATACTTTGACAGCTTCATCTGGGAGCTGACTGCACTATTCAAAGCCATGACATACAGATGGTCTGGCGGCCTGGAGCCTAGTGACCCTGGATTTAATGAAGCACTTTCCAAGAGCTATGTTGAGTAGTGAGTTATCATCTTGCGCTTCACAATCACTATAAGCAGATGCTGACGATTGCAATAGCTTAGAGAGTGTGAAAGCTCTTGTGCCTGCTGACAAGCTTCTGATCTTGAACCTTGAAAAAGGATTCGGCTGGGAAGAGATCTGCACGTTTTTAGGGAAAGACATTCCCGAAGAACCTTACCCGCGCATTAACGCCATGTCCGACTTTCATGTTGCCGCAGAGATGGTGGTCTCTCCCGCAATCAAGAAGACAATGCGAATTCTCACTTCGTCAGCGGTTGCTATTGCTGGTGTGGGCATTTGGTACTGGCAGAGAAAGAGGTAGCACCCAGTTCCTCAAGCCGGGGGGCTTTTTGCGACAACTGTGTAGTCATCAAGTACTTCAACAAGATCAGTGATACCCATGAAATAGCTACGGGGTGTGTAACTCAGATTTCTGGGATTCCAGGGTGGTATAACAGCAGCATCCTTGAATAATTGATCGAAACTGCGTCGTCCAATTGTACTGTACCACTGCCTTGATTCCACGAGAGTGGGAACATCACTTAATCTCATCTACAAAGGAGTCAGAGGTCATCAGAAATGATATCCATATATTCTTGCCTGTTCGAAAACCAAAGGCGGCAACTGGCCAGTCTTGGAGTCTATCTGGGACCTTTGGGGTCGTAGGCCGAGACCTCAACTTCGAGCCGCATACCGGGTTGCCCAAGCTTTGAGGCCCCAATACCTGTAAGAATTGGCGCGTGGACAGGAGTCCACTTCTTCATGTTCTCTACCATTCGGCCAAGGCCATCTTCAGTCCAGGCCTCGTCAAGTGCATACAACCGGATACGGAAGACTTGTGACCATCCTTGGCCGCCAGCTTCCTTTAGGGCAATGTCAACATTCTCAAATGCTTGGTCGATCTCCTGCATGAGGTTGCTGGGAACCTCCCCGGTCCTCGAGTCCCAACCTCCTTGAATTTGGTTCAGTAAGCGATATGGTTGCACATTATATACACCTTGCTTGCAATTACCTTGGCCAGATATTTCAATGTTATCCCCCACCCGGACTGCTTGGCTGTAATGCATCTCCTGTAACAGTTTCTCGCCATATCCTTTGTACGAGAAGTACTGAAGACCCGACATTTTGATGTTGCTGAAGTGAGCAGTCGCGACAATAGTACTTGAAGGTAATTGACGTAGATAAGAAAGAGGGATCGTGAAATGGTTGGTTTCCTGCTGTTGAAAATCGGGTTCGGCGACAAGAAGCAATGTGTATTTAATGCTTGCACTTGGATTTCCTGTCGGTCTCTACACAGGCATGTTCCTCATTTATAGGCCTTGCGTATCTTACTCTCACGTGGTGCTGTGTTCACTAGTACTTACTATCATGCTCACTACATGTAAGTATTGTCAGTGTGGATAAACACCGTTTTAGTGATGCGGCCGAACTCTCTTAGCCGGCTGAGTAATGTTGCGATTGTGCGGCTTGTTGAGGCGTGCTTGCGCCAAGCGCTCTCCTCCAACCTGGTCCTGATCAGGTCTTGGCCAAGCTTAGTGCTGAGAGAATTGTCAGCGGACGAGCAGCCAAGAATTACATCTTACTAATCTTGAGGGTCAATATTGTTTGGCCCATTCAAATTCCCCTCAGAGTTGGGCATACCATCAGTCCTTGTGGCGAAGCCAACCAGCGAAGGAAGCGAAGGCAATTTTCAAAGCAACTTACGGGCTTCTGTAGCTATGGATGCACATATACTCTGTCGCCTGTGATGACTTGCGATTCATCAACCTTGGCGGCATTCCATGAGCAGAGGAGAATTCGACGCTCAATTTCCGGCCTACACATCTTGAATCAAGGTGTAAACGCACTGCAGTCGTCCGCCCAGATCCAATTCATTTTACCATGCCTGTCCTACATCGCTTCCGTCAGGGAGATGACCTGTCTAAGTCATTGAGGACAGAGTGAGACACAGTCTCACCTTTCTGGGTAGAAGATCTGCCATACACGGGCCGAGCACTGGCGCTGAGACCTTGGAATCGTGGCGCAATTAACACGGTGAGGAGTGGATTTGTAAACGTTTCTGTCATTCGGAGAAGCTAGCAGCACCCCGTGGGCCCCATTGACCGTGATAAGTCTGGACTGGCGCCATGGGCGTCATGCGTCGGGCCCCGAATTTCGTCCAAATATCGGCGATGCGGCCTGGCTCCGAGACATTCTCTGGTATCCAAGATATTCCTGACGTACGGGCCTACCGGATATCATGTCCAGAACCTCCAGATTCTCGTTAAAGCCAGCACGATACCAGACACTGCTACCGGTACGATCAGATACCTCATGGTCCTCACCGCAGCCATCAGCCCTCTCTTCACCTCCCTCTGTTGGAAATCCCGCATCCATAGCTCAGATCTTTGCCATCATTAAGATGTGGAAAAGGCTTGTGTGGGATTTCCTTGCCGAGGAACTTGCACAATGGCTCCCATCCCGAGCCAAGCTTGTACTCCAACAGGCTTTCTTTAGGAACGAGCTCCCGGATTTTCTCAGAATGCTCCTGGCATATTAACTTGGCGTTTCTTTGCCATTGCGTTCGATTGCTGCAGCGAAACATTGCGTACTGCAGATCCCTTGTAACAGTAACGGGCTTCAGCGTTTGGAGAGGCTCGATCAGATTAAGTACAGCCCACATCTTCCAGGTGAAGAAAGACCTGATGACACCTTCGTCATATGACTTATACCATTTATCCAGATCTCGGTAGACAAGTACAACTTTCGCCTTGATAGCTAGATGAGCCAGTTGATCATTTGGGTTGTGGTACGGTTGGCTCGACTCAGGATAAGTCTGGAGAAGCTCCTCTACGAACCCGATCGCCGGGTTATCTGAAACAACAGCCCATTCTCCTACCAACTCATTGAAATCTTCTGTCGTGAAGGGCTTGCCATTTCCGTAGTATTTGGCCTGCACTGCATCGAACCAGCGGAGATGGTCTTGCGGTCTTTCGATATAAACGAATCCGTGGTATGTCGGCATTCCAAGCTCTTCATATGCGGCCTTCATGGAAAAGCTCCCCGTCCGAGGAAGGCTCATATTCAAGACTTGAACATTGGAACTTTGAGCCACGGTGGGGGTCATTTCTGAGCGCATGCTGCAAAAAGCATTGAGATGATCAAGAATGTAGACTTCAAGGCCTTGGAGGGGGAATTGTTTTTCAAACAAAGCTTCTGCGGCGCGGCTCGTTGCCTACGGGCTTCTGTAAGCTGACTGCATTTCGAAGTCCTATATAAACACACCACAATATCTATGCGCCTCTGGTGACCTTATCTTTGACGCTCGTTCCTAATCGAGGTTCGCTTGCGTTACCTCAGTTGTTCTGTCCAATCATAACAAGTCTACCGTAAACATCGTGACGAATTACACCAGGTCTACCACGCCAAAGCGCCTTAAATCATGCATGCTGCCATTCGTGTCAATCCGATCACACTCACGCTGCGAGTTCCAGCCTTTGAAGTTCCAGCGGTAGGGTCGTTATCGCCCAACCAAGTATTCAGATACCGGAGATATGTTGGAGTTGGCGGGATGAAACCAGGCTTCTGTAATCAGCATCTGATTGCTCCAAAATCAACCTGTTTTGTTTTGCGACCTCGGATGTAACATACAATAAGGGTATATACCTTAGATCGCCGCTCTTCAATGTTCACAGGAAGTCACAGTCAATTATTAATGTGTTGACTCTGATTCTTCAGTACCTCTGTGACATTGTTTCTTTTCCATTTGTGACGGCCAACAACTTTATTAACTCGTCAATGGACGTTGGTGTAGAACAATTATTTCAGAAAATGCCTCGAGGCGCACTCACGCCATAGAATAACCCTCAAACGTCGCCTTAATTCAAGTTCCGTCTTCATCCAATACAGGGAAGCGTCCACTTTTGTGAAATATGTCGAAACTTTACCTTGAAAAACATACTTTACCTTGACAGATCCCTTGCACGTGACTTAACCTCCCCAAGAACCTTGTTGCCTGGATTGCAGCCAGCTACTTGCCGAATAACTTCCTTCTCATCCTTCACCACTGCAACATACGTTACCCAATTTCTCTCATATTTTTCACCTTATTCTTGGTCGATCACTTTGAGTCCGCATGACCAACCAGAGAATCAACGCATCAAAACATCATGTCGTGGTCCTCTACGCAGCAAGAGGCTGAGGGACTGGCCCCGATCGCACAGTCATGGCATCAATACGAGCCAACGATCAACTCTTGGGAGATAGTCGAAAACTACGACGCCAACAATCCTCCCCCATACGCACCTCAAGATACTACCGAAATGAGCCCTCATCTTGTTCTCGCCACGTGGAACGTGGAGGCTTTTGATCAAGAGCCTGCCCGCCGCATCACCGCAATTCTCGACCATCTCCTGAACCACTCGCCCTCACCCGACGTAATCTTTTTCCAAGAAGTATCGACAACGATGCTGAGTGCGTTGCTGAACAACAGCATGGTTCGCGACAATTGGTATTCCAGCGAAAAAGACTCACAAAACTGGATAGGCGCTCCTCTCACCGCTTTCGCTACAATGACTCTCCTATCCAAGGCCAAATTTGGTCACATTGGCAGGGCAGCTCTGGCGGGTCTAGGACGGGTCTCGCGAATCAAGTATCGATCTTTCTACAGACGGGACGCACTGTGCAGTGAGGTGTTTGTACCATCGCGGCAGCCGGGGGCTCAGATGACTGCGTACAAGCGGCTCCAACTTGTCAACGTGCATTTGGACTCCCTATCAAACGGGGCGGCATGTCGTCCAGCTCAACTGCAGTGTGTTGGATCACTCCTACACGACGTTGGCCGTGGGCTGGTAGCGGGAGACTTCAATCCTGTCACTCCACATATCGATGCAAGCCTGGTGGAAGACAATGGCCTCGTCGACGCGTGGAAGGAGTTGAAAGGCGAGGAGACTGGATACACGTGGGGAGTTAATGGTACCGAAAGATTCCCCGCGAATCGCATGGACAAGGTTGCAATGGTGGGGCTCAGACCACTGCATATTGAGGTTTTGCACCCGATGCAGGTACTTTTACCTGGCGAAGATGGCTCTGTTCCATGGAGCGACCACTCCGGACTTAAGTGTACTTTCACGCTTGTGTCACCTTGAGTAAGCCGAATTGCAGAGGCTGGCATTATCCAAATAGTCACAATGTCATACTTTACTATCGCAAGAGTCCCTTGGGTCTCACAATGTTTTCTCTACTTTGATCGCCCTGTGCTCTGGCTACGTCAGCGCTAGCACCAGTGTCAGCAATAAGCGATGTAGCTGCCTGGAAGACCCCCTCACAAGTAATGTCACGACGAACCGTCATAGAAAACGAAGCTTATTGGCTTACATCTGGCTTCCTGTGGAAATCCTTCAGTCTTTGCTTCAATTTTTGGCTAACTTGAGTTTCCTCTCACGACTCTCAGATATTTCACTCCCTCGACGATCAAATAACAATAACGATAATAATAAGGCCAACACGACCCGCGTCAGCTGGTTTCCCTATCAACTCCTTGTGGAGACTGTAGTCGTTAAGACACTCTGACATCTACTTTGTGCCGCATCATGGAGCATCTTCCGATACCCCGCGACCCAATTAGTGAACATCCGACGATAGCATTGGGCACCAAACAGTTCCACAAACCGGGGCCTTTTCTCGACTACCCGACACAGCACGGCGATGTTCTCAACGCACAGTATCCACATGTTCCCACTCAAGCCGATGCCCTTCAAGGGCGGTTCACAGCCGGGATATCGCATATGCAGGTTATTGACTATTACCAAGGCTGGTTGTTCTGCTCCTTGCTCCAGGAGTTTCTGGGAAACCTGTATAAATGGCAAAAATATACGTCATGGACGTACGACGATCAAGAAAAGCTCAAGACTATCAGCCTATCTACAAAGACTTTGCACGAGGACATGGCATCGTTACGCGCAAGCGGGCCGCTGGCATCCATCCGAAACGGTGATGCATATGAAAAGCACCTAAAAACATGCTTGGATCAAGCCTTCGAGGCCTTTCATGAGATCGAGTCCAGATTCCCGGGCTTCTCGGCGGCCTTTGCCGAAGAAATTCTGTGCCTGGCCAGCTTGGCTGAGACATTAGACTCTGCGGTTCAGACGGCCCTCGTTCACGGACCAGTCGCCGGTAAGTTACGCACCCCATAATAACAGCTAGTAAGGTCCAGACCCTGGAGCCTATGCTGATGCTACCTCTTCATACAGAAATGGACCGAGGTGTACAGCACTTCCCAGAGTCAGCCAAGCGCCCCTTGTTCTCCAAGGTCGCCTCCTTGCTTGATCTGTCCTCGGGAGATAATAAGCTCGCAATGATTAGGGCCGGATGGTGCCCTGGTGATATCACTAAGATCGGCGAGAGCTTCAACACCATCGCCGCGTTCTATTACTTTAGCAAGTTCAAGGCGGATTCCACCGTGGCAGACTTGCACAAAGACTGTCCCGAATATGGCTGCAGTCTCAGAATACCAGCAGAGCCTAAACACATGAGCGATGGTTGCAAATGCCCGGGAATGATTTCATTTGATGAGGAAAATCTTATAGACATCTACCAAAAGGGCGATGTCCCTTGCTTTTCTATCGGAAGGCTTGAAGACGGCAGTTTGGGCATCGCTCTTAGCTCCTGTAGCATCGACGAAGAGTCGCAGAAAGACCCTAGTAATCACTACGTCGCTCTCTCACATGTATGGTCAGAGGGTATGGGCAATCCGGCGGCGAATGCCCTACCCTTTTGTCAGCTGGCTTACGTACAACACTGGGCAATGATGGCATACCAAGTTGTGGAAGAGAAAGAAGCAGACGAGTCAAAGGAAGGCACGGGGATCATGATCCAAACGAAACCCAAAATACGCCAGCTCAATATCTGGATCGACACCATGTGTTGTCCTGCGACTCCTGGATACGGAAAGAATCTTTGCCTCTCCATGATGCGAGACATCTACTCCAACGCCAATGTCGTCATGGTGAGAAGCGCAGTGCTTGAAGCTTTGGAAATAGGCGACATTGTACGGGATCCCTCCAATGGGGTGATGGATGTTGCAGCACAGCTGTATCTCTCTCCTTACATGCGCAGGATGTGGACATTACAAGAGGCAGTCCTAGCTGGGCTTCCAGAGCTCGAGGTATTGGCGACCGGCTTTGTCTGTCATTCGCCGATGGCATCCTCTCGCTCGAATCAATCATCAACGTTCTGAAGCAAGCCCCCCGACAAGAGGCCTTGTTGGCATACCGCTTCATGGCAGAATTCCGCGACCTCAGCACTCACATGTGGCAGCTAGGAGATGATGATGGCGACAAGCCACTGGAGCACAGTCTGAAGGGGTTTGACTTCTTCTTGAACATGCTCACTGTCGCTTTGAAATACCGCAACGTCACGGTTGCGTCCGACGAGGTGATTTGCTTGGCTACGCTGATGAATCTGCGTATCAACAGCACACGGGGAGTCGTACCTCTCATTGGCCACGGAGAGACTCCCGAGGAGGGCATGTGTGAGTTGTGGAGGAGGCTTCAGGGCCTCGGTGGGAGTCTGCCATCTGACCTTATTTTCTCCTCTGTCCCGCGTGTTCAAGTACCAGGATATCGGTGGGCACCCGCAACTCTTGTCCAGTACGCGAAACACGGCAATCTCTATGTTTCTCATTCCAGTGCGTATCCGGCGAAGATTTCCGACAAGGGTCTACACGTGAGGCTTCCTGGGGCGCGACTCACGAGTTTGGCTGCCACTGCTGGTTCATTCGGCAAGTTATTGCCAAGGGTATCAATGAATGACCCAAAGGATGTCCACCCGGAAGATGAAGCCACACCCCCTTCTGTATTCTTGGCAAAGCTACAAGCAGATGGAGATGGATGGTTTGCTGTCAGAATTCACAAGGGCGAAAATGAGACCCGGGAATCCGGATCTGCACATGCAGAATCACGCTCAGAATCAAGGCAGAGTCCAAATCTTCTCCAACTCCTTGAGAGCAGGTCTACGGCGCTCATATACCAAAACGCCAACATCAGCGGGCCAGGTCTACTCGTTTCCATTGTGTCGCAACCGTCAAAACTGAGCGCTCTCGACATTCTGAGTCTGAATCAGGAGCCTTTGCAGACCATAAGCGAGTTCCCTGTAAAGATAATGCCTCTCAGCGGCGGTGCCAGCATCATTGCTGAAGCAGCCAACAACTGTGTCGAAGAGCTGAACCGAAGGGTTGTGGCTGAGTCGAGACAGCGGACAGGCGGAGATACCGTTGAAAATGTCTGGGAGGATGCGATTGTCATTGCTGAGCTGTTGAAGCAAACGGCCGAGAGAACCGTGGAAGAGTCCAGTGCAGCCCTGAAAGAAGCCTTGTATTTCGAGGTGTTGTCTACGAAAGCCTCTGCCACGTACGAGGCCGCCATCGAGCGCTTCATGCAGTATGTGCGCCAGGTGGCGTACTTTGGCGGCGGTATAACGTGCGAGTCTTATCCGGACGACCAAGACTGGTATGTGGATTGATTCTGGTCTGGATCGGGTTCAGACCTTCGCGGGGTTGGTGGCATCACCACCTCGCAGACAGAGCTTGTGTCCCTTTGGACCGGATGAAGATCTTATTGGGCGCTCTCCAAAGCACATGTGCAAAAGGTGATGAGGGCTAGTGTACGTTGCCTTCATGTAAATCTCCTACTCAGAAGGGCGAGATCTTTGTTGGAATCAAGCCTGATGTTGATCGAAGAGGGGCCCTTCACGAGGGCGTTGAACCCGGTTCTCAACTCGATCAATCCTCAACGGAAAGGCTCACTCTTTCAGTCTAAACTGCTTAGATATTTTAGGTAACCCCAGTACCCGAGTGGGGAACTTCAAATCTGATCTTGAAGTGTTCAAGTCACAAATGGGAGGTCTCGTGTACCCCTGTCTTGAAGGTGGCGGCTGCTTGTGGCTTTGAGACAACTAGATAGCCGAGAGTAATGGTCGGCCAGCGGGGCCACGGACGCTTACTCCGTATCATTCTAGGTACTTTGAACATGCTCATGACGTTTCAAGCACGGAAACAGATAACCTTGTTTGAGACATTACTTGATTTACGGGTGGCTTGGCAGATCGGCGAGATTGGATCGCGTGCCCGGTCACGATCCGGCGGAGCTTGCACAACATCGAATCTCTAAGATTAACTATTAATACGTGTGACTGCAATCCTTAGATGGTCCGAGTGAAGGATGAAGTTCACAAGCTTTGACGCAGAAAGAAAGATTTGTCTACTTCTACATTTACGCTGGGTCAATCATTACGTGTATGATATTGATGGGTTAGAGTCCTTGCAAGAGACCTCCGCGTCGTTCGGGGCGTTGGGCGAGAATACCCACCGTCTCCCGACAGTCTGGTGCTCGTTACACGAGTCTTTGAGACATTCAAATGTACGAGTCATCCGAGTTATCCGCGCAAATCTTCATTAACAGTGAGTAACTTTCTCAACCTACTCTCACTGCCCTTTCAATGTAGGTACATCGATCGCAACCGGCCATGCAATGACCACCGCCTCAGCCCGACGTCTCTGTAGCTTGTGCCGCACCCATGGATTCCACATATGGCGTATGGGAATTAGATCTACTCCTGTCATTTCCTCCCACAAAGCACTCACATGGAGTATCGGCTGCTGCCGAGCCACAAGGCCTTCCATCTTCTGCGTCCTAATTCAGTCGGTTTGCCCGATGAAGACATTCAGTAGGCGATCAATTAGAGACAGACTGATCTGGATCTTGAAGATAACATCGCATGTCCATTCCTGCCAGTCTTAAGAGTATCCCAACAATCGGCTAACATGAATCCCATTGTCTCCTTTGCTATGGAAACGGCTACTTGGGACCCATCTGCAAGCGGGCAACCAAATGGCAAAGACTTGGCGATAGAGAAAGGCTAGTTGATGTCGTCAAGGTGTTCAAAGATCCGCCCAGACATCCCCGCCTGGATTTCACCGAGAAGATTTGAACGCATGTAGAATGGCCGTTTCGACGATCACTCTATATGCAATCGCTCTTGCTGCCGTTTGATGCCTCTAGCTTTTTATCCTTATTGGAGAAGGCGTGTCACTCAGGTCACGGGAGAGTGGTCCTGGGAAGACTTCTGGGAGCATTCCTATCTATCGCCCATCAAGGACCGAGCCTTGGGCTCTAGAATACCCAGTTCTTGAACGAATATGTCGAAATTGACGGGCTTATGGCGGCTCATCTTGCCGCCGCTGCTCCTAGGAAGCAGCAGCCTGGCCCAGTCATGCCTCGAGGCGCTCAACAACAATCAGGTCGACGCATGTGTGTGCTACTCCCTAGAATACGTCGTCAGTTACGTCGCCTACGTTGCTGTTTCTACGTCATACACGTCAAATTGCGAGGCTCTGCCCACGATCTCAGCCACCACATCCGCCGCGCCTCAGATTCTAGAGAGTAACCCTGCAGGTGGCAACTATTCAGGGTACGTGACAGTCAGCAATGGAGTTTACACAGGAACAGACATCTTGGCCGGGCCGACTACGAGAGCAAGTCTGGGACTCGATGGATCAGGGACATTGGTAGTGGAGGATCCGCCTTCGTATACGACAATTTCCCGAGGCGGTACGGCAACAGTCAGCCCTGGATCACTTCCGAGCTCTGTCAACTCAACAAGCTTTCTGACTACGAATCCCATCACGGCACCACGAACCATTCTCGTCGCCAACCCCACGCCGGGGGCTTCCACAGCTTCCCAAGGAACTGTAATCGTTGCAGTACCTGATCCAAGATTATACAACACGAGCACACTCGCTTATTCGGGGCCTGATCCCCTAGGCGCAGCTCGAACGACCATTTCAACTATCACCGAGTCTGGCTTTATTCCCGGCACCTACGTTGTCGCTGTCGCCACAACGAAGACACCAGATGTGTCCTACGATGTTTCTACGGTTGCGTACACTGGGACAGCCGTTCTCTCGGGCCCTACCGTAGTGTCAGTCATTCAACCCACGGAAGAGAGCGGTCGAGGAACTGTAGTGATAGGAGTCCCGCCGACAGGAGTTCCCCCTCCTCAGGTGACGTCGATAGTTCCGTACGAGGGCATGAGTTCAATTACAGGACCGACGACGATTCTCAACAGGCCCTTCGATGGCACCGTGCCGGGAACCGTCATAGTCGGACTGCCACCAGCATCTTTCATCACCCAGACTGTGCCCTTTACGGGCAGGGAAATCCTTACGGCCCCAATCACTATCTCGATAGCACCACCAAGCGGCTCTCAACTTGGTACCGTTGTCATCGGAAGTCCATCAGCCGCATTCCTGGCCAGCTTCATTCCTTTTACAGGGTCTACCCAAGAGACACTATCTGTGATCCAGCCTACAGGCACATCTCCAGGAGTTGTAATCATCGGGCAAACCGGAGGTCCCAATCCAGATGTCGAGGATCCCACGTACGTCGCTTCGGCGCCTCAAATAACACCGACCCGATATTTCACGTCGATTGTGACCTACCTTCCTGCCTCAGATGCTCCGAACACACCATCGACCTTGGCTGTCATAGATGGTACGGTTATCATTGGGTTGCCGCGCATCGTCTCTCCAGCTGCGACTGGCTCAGACTCTTTTATCACTTCGGCAAGAAGAGGGACCTTTGTCACCTCTACTGTCGACTTCACTCAGGGCGTGGATTTGCCAAGAACTGTTGATCCTGTGGGAACCGTCCCTGGAACGGTTTTTGTTTATGCCTCATTGAGAGGTGAAAATTCGGCAAATCCGTTCGTTACTTCTGACATCGTGCTGCTTGGAACAGCGGCTGGCTCAGCGCCTACGACGATCTCCGTTGTGCAACCAACCAACGGACTTCCTGGAACCTTGATCATTGGCAGACCAGCCATATTTGTGACTTCGACTGTCTCTTGGACAGGTTCAGTTCCTCTGCCATCTAGAACAACACTTGCAGTCGTGGCCCCCTCAGGAGATAGCCCCGGCACGGTGTTCGTTGCGGATCCCGCGGTTTTGGGTAGACAATTCTCAACTTCCTACGTTCGACTCTCTGGTACCCAGGAAGAGGGCACTGCAACAACGTTAACCCTGATACCAGATCAGGGTACTTCGCAGCCAGTTATCGTCATTGGAGTCTCTGGTGACTACGTTACTTCTACAATTGACTTCAGCGGCACAGATATACTTACGACAAGAACCACACTTTCGACATTGCCGCCGAATGGAGTGGCACCAGGCTTCATTATTGTAGCTGACCCACCAACTTCAGTGTCTACAGGAACACCTGGGGTAATAAATGGGGCTTCTGGTGACCTCCAGCCCGACTTAATCACCTCAACAGTCTTCTATGAGGGCTCGACTACATCTGTTTTGACCAGTGTCCAGCCCTCAGGACCCAACAGGGGTACAATCCTGCTTGCAGTACCCTCAGTAGCCTCATCATTAAGACCTAGCGAAAGCCCCGTGTCGAATGTGGACGATCCAAGCGTGGCTCTGGCCTCATTCGTTACTTCGACGGTTGCCAGTCTTGCCGGCTATCCTGTTACATCAAGAATTACAATCTCGACAATCACTCCTGATGTTGAGGCCTCTATGCCTGGTACGTACGTTGTGGCCTTGCCCAACAACTACATTACCTCGACTGTGCCCTGGACTGGTGCGATGCCCTTGTCAACCTTGACCACGATCTCAATCTTACCACCTTCCGTCTCTCAGCCGGGTGTTTTCGTTGTAGCTGCTCCGAATGCGACAGTCTCATCTACACCTCAGCCAGTGAGTAGTGATTCAACCTCGCAGCCGGTTCCTACAAGCAATGCTGCCCCAGGAGACTCAGCTACGCCGCTTCCTGCCACACAGCTATCAGCTCAGACGCTGTTTACAACCTCGACAGTACTTTTGGCGAGCAATCTTGGGATCTCATCAGCAACCACTCTGACAACACTTCAAGGGGATCCGGGTTCACCATCCACAGTTTTGCTTGGTGTTCCTGCTGCCACCGAGACCGCCATAGGGGAAGAGACACTGGAAGCTACTTCCAATGCAAATGCTGGGTCTCAGTCACCTAGTGAGTCAGAATCTGGAACCAAGTCACCTCCTGCAGGCAGTTTCAGCTCGACAGCCACGCCTACTGACTGTTTACCAATGACGACTGCCCTCGCCAACTCTGCAATTGGTTCCGTCGTCACTTCGGACATTTTCTACAGCGGAACCAACCAATTTACCTCGCCAATCCCGCTGACGACTCTCTCTGCTGGCCTAGGCAGTCCTTCTACCGTAACAATGCTCCATCCATCATCGGCCACTGGCTCAACTAGCAACTCTGCAGGAGATTCCGGCTCCAGGCCGCTGGAAATTGTGTCATCATTGACGACTAATAGCTCACCAAGCCCAACTACCGTTGTCCTTGTTGAATCTGGAACGACAGTTCTGCTACAGGCTTCCTTTGTCACATCTACTTTAGATGCGGGCAGTAGTGCCTCAGAGGGCTCTCAAGGGCTTATCCCTATTTCTACGATTCTACCGAGCGCTGGTGAACCAGGTACTGTTGTGCTGGGATGGCCAGTAGCGATAGCATCATCGACTACAAGCAGGAGCTCGTCTTCAGAATCGAGCCCAGAAAACACGCTTCCCGCACAACTGTCAGGCTCATTAGATTCCTCCACAGTTTCTACCATACAGTCCAAGGTCTCAGACCTCCAAGAACTTACGGGGAGCTCGCAGACCGATTCAGGCCCAACAAGCATCTCCTCTTATAGCGACACAGATAGCATAGCTTTCTCAACTGTTGCTAGCACGGCAGCCCCAACGGACTTCAGCACCACTGATGCGGCTTCTTCTGGGCGCCTTTCCAACCAATCCCCCTTTGGCACAGCCCCAGACTCGGCGGTGACGACTGCTGTTGCTACAGTCCTCGTCGACTACACAGGCACTGGGGTTCCAAGCGAGTTTTTAACGCTTAGAACGACTTCAGGGACCGTCATAGTTCAGAGACCTCGACCTCTTACAACTGTACAAACGTTCATCCCTGGAAGTATCTCCACTGCATTTCTCACAATCATCCCATCTGGCACCGAGCCTGTCACCATAGTCTTCGGGATTCCATCGCCTGTGGGCACAACGTCCGTCCTGAGCACTAGCCCAGAGATTGTCAGCGTGGGAACGCAGTCAAGCACAAACTCGGTTGATACACTGACCTCTGTGGATCCCCAAATAGCCATTAGCAGCCCGACAAGCTCAGCAACGTCGGCATCTCAACAAGATGTTCCAAGTTTGCCTGTTTCCACGTCAGCCGCCATATCTACTTCGAATGATCCAATTTCCCAAAGCCCCTCTGAGCCTACTCCTTCCGAAAGTACAACTTCCGTGACTGTCAATCCAGGTTTCCTCTCCCCACCAGGAATTGTCTCTACTTCGAGTTCAACTTCAACGTCCTCAGTCTCAGAAGCAACTTCGTCTGTGAGTCAGACTTCTGCAGAACTTACAACAGACTCGTCTAATCAGATTCCGACAATTTCTTCATCCCAGTCTTCTGGTCCCGATACTATTTCCTCTTCTGGTAATTCTGGCATAGACACTCTCGCACTGTCTGCAATCATTTCCCAAGTGTCCGGAACTTCGTCAGCTCCAGATTCGACCTCGAATGTGTCCTCAACTACAGCGACTCAGCCGCAGGAATCCCCGTTGACTACATCAATGACTTCACCTTCCACTACTACGTCAACAACAAATGTGGTTACCGCGCTTGCGTCGAACCGCATTTCTGATCCGAGTAGCTCGTCTTCCGCTTCTGGTGCCGTTCTTCCAAACCCTCTTGATTCGCCCACACCCGCATCTCAAAGCACTGAAGCAGGAGCCAATACCTTGAGCCCTGCTAGCTTAGATGTCTCAAGTTCGGGTTCAGCTTTGGAGGTTTCTGGATTCTCCAGCATCTCAATTTCAGACACGTCCGCCCAGTACTCATCGAGTTTGTTACTTCCGGTCACAACTGATCCCAATCTGATTGGCCCAACTTCCTTGACTGAAATATCACCATCTGCAGAATCATCTCTTGTCTCGTCCAGAACTACTTCCTCCCAGGGCGCTTCTGTATTATCGACATCTGTTCCCATTCTTGGAAGCACTTCTAGCACAGGATCCCCGACTACTAGCACTCTCTCAGTAGCGCCGGGTGTACTTTCAACAGAAACTTCATCTTTCGTTGAATCTAGTGCCACAACAAGCTCTCCTAGCTCACTAGCAGGCTTTCTTCCAAACTCCCTATCGAGCGGTGGTACTATTTATACCGATGTACCCACTTCAGTGACAACCACGGGTCAGCCAACCGTACCTTCTTTTGCATCTACATCTGACACACTCTTTTCGACTGGAGGCACAAGCTTATCACTTCCAGCCTCTACAGAGACACCAGTTGACACAAGGATCTCTTCAGCTGTTACAGAAACCTCCTCTATTATCTTGCCCGCCGGCTCGAGTTCTGTGACCTCCTCAGCTATAGACATTCAAAGTTACACGGCGGCTTTGTCTTCTCCTGATTCTTCCAGCGTAGTAGAGTCACAGACCTCATCGTTAACAGAAACTACAGCCGGCTTATCAGCCAGCTCCGAGCTTTCAACTCAATCTGCGTCTTCGATCAGCTCCACCAGTACCGAACTTTCTGCGCTTTCTGACCCAACGATCTCATCCTCACTTCTCAATATTCTGAGCACCCTGTCATCGAGCGCTGTATCATCTCCCACTGTTGCTCCTCCATCTTCGAGCGTGTTGACTTTTACTGGGGCAGATCCGGCCACCGCAACGATGGACACCGTTTCTGCCGACTCAACAGTTCAGGACACGACCTTGACCTCAACGTCTTTAATCTCACCTGACTCTGGCCTCTCCTCGTCCAATCTAAGCAGAAATTTAGGCTCCAGTAGTCTTTCTGCTTCAGCCACACTATCTAGACCTAGCTTGGTGACCCCAACAGCAACCTTTGTGACGTCTGTGGTCCTATTCACAGGAACTGAGACTCTTACGGGCACCGGCCTTGTCCCTCTCACCACCATTTATCCAAGTAATGGCGACGCACCAACTGTAATATTTGGTGCGGCTAGGAGACTCTTTGCTTCCGTTGCTGTGCCGTACTCTGGTACAGGGATCATCACTGGACCTCAGCAGGTGAGCATCGTGTTGCCAAGCGGTTCAGACTCACTAGTGCTGGGGACAATTGTCTACGCAACACCAGACCCTCTGGTCACGTCCGAGGTAGACTACACTGGAGCAGGCACCCTCACTTCGCCTCTGCCATTGACCACTATCTACCAATCCGGCACGGTCCCTGGAACCATCGTTTTGGCGAGGCCCGCTATTTTTGCTACCTCTGGGACCAGTTCTACTGCCGTTCCCAGTGCTTCGAGCGAGTCGTCCTCCCCTGTTGTGTTAAGCACAATATTGCAGTCTACAAGCTTGGTTGAAACTCGCTCCTTTTCCACATTCTTTTTTCCACTAAACTCTGCCTCGACTTTTGTTTCCTTTGGAAGCTCGTCGGGATCGAGTGGAGTTTCCGAGTCTACCGCCTCGAGCTTGCCCACTGTTCTGGCTGAATCCAGCACATCGAGCGAACCACAGCGAGGATCAAGCAGCCTTGTAGCGGTTTTCCCATCAACTTCATTCGATAGTTACAGCTCGATGGTCGGTAATCTGAGCTCTTCCACGATCTTTCCAGCTTCCCCGGTTGGTTCTATTTCAACCCCAGAATTGTCAACTTTCACCGCAACATCAACGGATGACAGCCTCTCAAGTAGCGTCAGCATTGATCCAGCGTTTTTGGGCACATCTTCGAGCTTGACAAGCGATCCAATTGTCCCAACCTTCACAAGCGAAAGGCCTATTTTCTCAAGCCAGACAACAACGTCAACTGATCTAGAAACCACCGCAGTCCAGACGACGGTATCGCAATCATCTGAAACAAGCATTGGAGTGTCTCCTTCCAACACTGTTGGATCGAGCGACTTGGCATCCTCTTCTCTTTTGGTAGTGTCTTCCACTGCTTCTTCATCTGATTTCAATTCTTTCACTGTAATTTCTTCTGTGGATTCCACGGCTTCCATCGAGTTTCCTTCGTCTGTGGAAAGTAGCCCTGCATCTGAAGAAACCATTCCGACCATCTCCCCTATCTCGGATCAGGCACTGGTCTCGAGTTCAGCTCCGCCAGCATCTGCCCTCTACGACAGCATTCAGGTGCCCTTCACAGGCACTGATCAGTTGCCTACTCCGGTCCCCATCAGTACAGTGCCTCCGAGCGGAAGTGTCCGTGGAACTATTTTTTACGCCGCCCAGTTCCTCACGTCAACAGTATCGGGGACAGGTCAGTCCACAGTGACCCTTTCAACGATCCAGCCTTCTGGGACACAGGCTATTGGCTTGGTAATCATTGCAGTCCCTGTCTCGCTACAATCGTCAACGACGTCGTCTATCTCACCTGATAGTGGAGGATCGTCTACCACTGAGATCAGCTTTGATTCATCAGCGACTTCAATCACAACATCGGTCACTTTGGCATCTCCCCTAGCTGCAACGAGCAGCATCAGCTTGAGCGGAAGCGCCGGCAGCACTGGAACTATCGAACTTAGCACAACCCCTGAGTCAACTAGCGTGGCGGCGACATCCAGCGAAGTCGAGAGCTTGAGCACCCTTAATCCTGAGGCAATAAGCACAACCTTTGCTTCTCTATTTACCACCGCCGATTCAAGCTCTCTGAGTGATGTTTCTTCGGCATCTGGCCTTAGCACTCTCCAGAGTAGCAGTACCTCCTTTGAGGCCCTCAATACCGATACGAGCGCAAGAACTTCGATTACTATCGGATCAGAAGCCAGCAGCTCCACTTCCATCGATGCAACCTCAACTGAAGCCAGCTCCTTGACATCTTTCACTGCCTCAAGCCTGTTTAGTGAGTCTTTCACAACGACAGCAAGAGTTGATTCTAGCAACAGCATCCCATCGACTAGCAGCACAAGCGACTTTGAGACAATTTCCACAGCGCTTGCTTCTCTGATATCTACCACCGATCTCATCTCCACATTTAGCCCGCCTACTACAGCAGATGACACTACCTCAACGTCCCGCAGTTTACCTACAGAAACCGCCAGTTTGACCACAAACGCTGAGATCTCTTCGGCAGCTTCTTCCAGTCTTGCTTCCGAAACAGCCAATATTTCTCTCAAGATTACTGCCTCAACTGGTGACACTCCAAGTACATCAGAGAGCTCGCTGATAGAAACTTCCTCTTCTCTCCTGTCGACTACCACCGGCACGATTGCCTCCTTTTCTTCGGATT